GGAAGGAAGGAAGGAAGGAAGGAAGGAAGGAAGGAAGGAAGGAAGGAAGGAAGGAGAAAAGAAAAAGAAAGAGGAAGAAGAAAGAAGGAAAGGAAAGAAATAAAGAAAAAGAAAAAACAAAGGGGAAAAGAGAAAGAACCTAGGGATATTATACATGAGAAGTATTACCCAAAACATAAAGAAACTGAAAAATACTAAAACAAGAGCTGGAGAGATAGTTCGGCATTTAAGAGGGTTTGCTGTGCAAGCATGAGGACTGGAATTCATGTTCTAGTTCCCACATAAGAAGCCTGTAACCTCAGTTTGGGGTACAGAGGAAGATCACTGGGCTTTCTTGGTTGACACCTGACCAAGTAAGCTGAGCTCCAGGGGCCTGGAGGAGATGGCTCAGTGGTTAAGGACATTGGCTGCTCATCCAGAGGACCCAGGTTAGGTTCCCACCACCTACATGGTGGCTCACAACCATCTATCACTTCAGTTTCAGGGGCCTCGATGCTCTCTCCTGGCCTCTGCAGGAAACACACACACATGTGATACCCACACGCCCATATACATACAATAAACCAAAAAGACAAGCTCCAGGTTTTAGAAGCCCTTGCCTCAAAAGAGCACACAGAAAGTAACAGGAGAAGACGTTCGATACTTGTTTGACACTCCCCTCTGAGCTCCCTTTGCTGTGCACAAGCATCACACTCACACATGGACACAGACCCACACATGAGCGTTCGTGCTCATGTACCCACTGATCAACAAGCCTGCATCTATGCTGAACATGTGCTGATTTTCCTTGTCATTGTCCTCTGAAGAATACCATGCAGCAGAGCAGCACCTATCGGCATAGAATCTGCCTTGCTTGAGGTGACAGTAACTGCTCTAGAGAGTGTATGAGCATAGAGGGAGGTGTGGCTACAGTGTGCAAATGCTACATGTTGTAGAGAAGGGACTTGATCGCCTGTGGGTTTTGGTAACACAAGGTGTCCTCAAAGCCGTTCAACAGTCCCAAAAGGTGGCTGATTACCGTAATTTGCTCAGCCCTTCTATTGTGGAGAACGCTTTAGCCTTGTCCAACTTCTGTCCATTCCAGCTACAGCTGCTACATGCCCTCTGGGCACATCTCTTAGTAATGCTCTATTCACCTCCCTGTATTCACCTCCCTGTAGGGTTAGGGAACGTGCATGTTGTTTCTGAGCTGCTAATTTTCTCTCCACATTGTGGGAATTCTCTGGGGTCTGGATCAAATTTCATTCTCCAGAGAAATGCACCTGTTCCTCACTTGAGGGACCTGAGCCCTGTGAGGGGCCACTTCTGACCTGCTTGGTTGGCGTCCTTCAGGCTTCAACAGTAGCCTGTGTTGGAATGCTGAGCTGCGTTCTGTCTTGGGGAAGGTTGTCTTCCCCTCCATGGTGGAGACGGGCAGGTGTCCTCACTGTCCCCTTCTGAGTGACGGCCATCTCTTACTCATCCTGGCCCAGAGAGAGGAGATTCTGGGGGGGGGGTACCCTCATTTCATTCTAGATCTGCCACTGCCTTATCTAAAACAACAACTCTGGGGTGACAAGACGCCTCAGGGGCAAAAGCGTTTGCTGTACCAGCCAGATGAGCTGAGCTCAATCCCCAGAGGCAGCAAGATGGTAGGAGAGAAGTGCAAGCTGCCCCCGGACCTTCACACACGTGTGCGGCGTGTGCAGACCTGCACTCACATACACGTCCCACATGTCCGTGAGTAATAAAAATAAAAACTTTATTTTAAAAAGTTTAAAATAAGACAGCAGAGGCCCAAACAGCACAAGCTTTTATTCCGAGCACTCAGAGGCAGAGGCAGGCAGATCTCAGGGTTCGAGGCCAGCCTGGTCTTCAGAATGGGTTCCAGGACAGCCAGGGCTACGCAGAGAGACCCTTTCTGGGGAAACAACAAGACAATAGGAGGCTGGAAGTAGGGAGTCCCTGGGAGGGTGACAGGTGCAGTCTCTGATGTTCTCCGTCTGGCAGACGTCATTCCACTCTTCAGCTTTACCGTCCCTTGACTTCTGATGGTGCCGGTCTTCACGCAGACACCATCTCTCTGTCTGTCTTCCAGTCAAACTGGCTTAAGGACCCATCCTGCTCCACAGCAAATGACCTCATCTTAATTAGTTATATCGCCAGTGATCCTGTTTCCAGAGTAGATGGTGTATTGAGGCAGAAGGGTTAGGACCTCAGTGTATCTTTCGGGAGTCGGAGGACGTGGGCTCTCCTGTTAGCCTGTCCACAGCTGTCTGTCATAGTCTCATGCCCTGAAGTTACCCGAAGAAGCACAACTTTTCTAAAATCTGAGCACTGTCCTCCCAGGCTTGCTGCCTAAACATTTAGGGCACTTGCGGTTTTGTTCCTTTGAGGCCAACACAGCAGGAATTGCCAAAACGGTATCCTGTAGGGGAGATGGCTCTTACTGCTCTTCCAGTCCCCAGGACCCACACCAGCACCAACCTGATTTTCTTTCCTGTAAACCAGGGGCTTTGAGAAGCCCCATGACACACTGAACATAATATGCACCCTATAGGAAGCAGCTATACTTGTGTTCACCAAGTACTCTGGGCTCAGCTGGGGCCCCCGCTTGGCATGGTTCATGGATCCTTTAGGAGGATACGGTGATAAGGACCTTCTAGGTATGGTCCCTCAGATATCCCACCCCCTCCATCCTGTGTCTCTGTGTCTCAGGGAATATCTACCATTACGTGCCGTGGTACAACACGAAGCCCGTGGTGGCTCTGACCTCCAGCTGGGAGGATGTCAGCTTCCGGACGAACTGCCTCAACCTCCTCCACATCACCCGGGATCGCCTGGTGAGTGTGCATGAGGGAGCTGGGGTAGACGGGAGGCGGAGGAACGTACATCACAGTCCTAGGAAACCAGCCACACAGCGCACACTCGTACACCACATCACGGAGAAGTGTGCCTGATACAGCACAGGGCACTGGCGAAGAGTAAACACAGACTCGTCCTCACTGGCTGCACAAGTCAGAGCTTCGCAGTCACTGTGCAATGCAGCTAGGGTTGCCACGGAAACGCAGGCGCCAAGAGATTGAGGATCGGAGAGATGGGGATGGGGAGGGCAGAAGAGAGCAGTTAGGGGGTTTCATAGGCAGTGTCGGGGGATGGAAGCACAAAGGGGATGATATGTGTGACGTCACGGTGATGTGTCAGTTTTTTAAAGCCATGAGAGGAACTAGGGCTGTAGAGGCATCGTGGGAAGCAGAGGGGCTGGGAAGACCACACGACAAAGAACCTTAGGTTCCTGTCAAGGAGCATAGTTCTCAGAGGATCTGTGCATGTAGCGCCCCTAGTCACAACTTTCTCATGTCTGCACACGGCTTTCGTGTGTCTCCATCTCCTGCCACCCCTTTCCTCTGCTGGGTGCAGGAAGTGGGAAAGAGAGGGTGTCCTAGATTTGCTAGGGTGTGCAGCAGTCTGGACTTGGCCTCACCAGGTTCCTCCTTAAAGGCCTCTGGGGCCTGTCCTATCTCAGGAGAGCCCCAGGCTGAGGCCAGCTCTGCTCTCCCTTCCTCTCCATGGGCAGAAAGCCAACCTGGACACCCTGAAGTCCATACGGAACCCGAGGGACCCAGCTCTGCTCCAGCAGTGGAAGAAACTGCTGAAGGAGCTAATGGAGGACTGCCGGTAGGAGCTGAGGGTCCCCTGGCCAGGGCTGGCTTAGGCTGAGATGGATGAGGCTCCAAAGAGAAACTGGATGCTTTGCGTAGCACGCAACAGACCCTTACCCCAGGAACGCTACTCAAACCTTCTCCTCCTCCAGCTTGAACCCACACACAGCTGCTTTTCTTGCCCGTGCAGAACAGCCCTGGACTCCAGTCCAGCACAGCTTTGTTGCTCCATGTCCACACTTGATGCCTGTATCATATGGGCAGATCTCCAATGACTAGAAGAGCCCACACCTCTCACATCGCTCATCACATCCAGTGTGCCTGTTTCAGGCTCACTAGGAAGCCTCTCCCTGCCCCCTTCCCGCCTCCACCACCATGGTTTGGCTAGCCTCTTCCCTGGAAAACATCTACCCACAACAAGTCTTTGGGAACCAACATAGCATACTCCAGGGCCTCAAGGCTGGAAGAGGGCTGGGTGGGAGCCCGGGTCAGGCCCACAGTAAGCCAGCTTCCTGAAGAAGAGAGATGAGCACGCCTTCCCAGGTCAGGCCAGCCATGAGACAGGTAGAGGCCCCAGGTTAGAAGGCGAGCGTTGCCCTGCAGTAGCACTGGAAGCAGGCATCCCTCCCTCCTCTCCTGTCCTGGCCACAGGCACCCTCTGCCTTGTATGACTGATCATCCCAAAGCTAATGACTTGGACAAGAACAAATGGCAGCTTCGAAGCCATCTTCTGCAGCAGCTAGCACAAAAGGCCAAGAATGCCAAGCCAAAAAACATGGTGGGCACGGTAGAGGACTGGTTGCGCCATCTCAATGCTGTGATTGCTGAGGTGGGTGCTGGCTTTGCTAGCTGAATGGTGAGTCCTGGAGCTGGCCACACATGTCCTGATGTTCTCCCACCTCGGCAGCCCCAGGAGAGCCTTCCAGAAGTGATGATCTGGCTGATGACGAGGCAGCAGCGAGTAGCCTATGCTCGGGTACCCGCCCACACTGTCCTGTTCTCCCCGGCAGGACCCCTGCACTCTGGCAAGTTTTGTGGGAAGATTCAGAACCTCCTCTTACAGGTGGGGAAGGAGGGGTGTCTTTTGGGGAAGATGGGATTCCCAAATTCCTAGAGAGAACTCCTGGGGTTGCAAGAAACCCCCGTGGGACCTCCTGAGGACATGGCCCGCCTGTTCTTCCTTGGCCCTGCATTAAATAGAATGGAGCTTATACAGTCTCCAGAGGAAGGCCCCGGGCTCCACTTCCCAGCATGTGAGCTGTTGCCAAGCCCACAGCTGTGGTAAATGCTCCTCAAATCCCTCACCACCTCCATCACTCCCATGCGTACCACTTGGTCTAATACCTTGTTATCACTCCTGTGAACCCCAACTGGGTGACTTTCAGAATATTCAGTGACTGTAAGATGTGGTACTGGCTCCTCCTATCAGAAACAAGCTCTAACATAAGATGGGCGGAACCCCCAACGATGCCCTTCTGTCTTGGAGAGGAGGAGGGTCCTTATGGGAGGGTCCCACTGCCTCTCAGGGCAATGCAGTCTGCCTGGCCTGCCCTAGCCACCTGTATCAAACCTGTCAACAGCGATGGGGCACAGGGGTGAAGGAATAGACAGGAAATGGTAGCCAGCATCAGCAAAGCTGCCATCACCACCTCCCTCCAGCTCCCCAGGCAGTCTCCACCTTCCCCACTCCTCCTCTTTTCTCTTGGCCTGTTGTCTCCATCTGTGAACACCAGGGCAGAACTCACTTTTCGGCCCAGAGCTTTGTGCTATTGTAGGCTCTCTGACTCCAGCACACAATGTGAGGACCCTCCCTACCCCCCCTCGCTCAAAAGGGGTGGGTGTGGCCCATTCGGCAATGCGTGGCCCTGCCTCAACCTCTCCCTCTCCCACACCCCTGTCCCCTTTGGGGAGTGGCACCTCGTGGGATTGATCTGCCTCTGGCTCAGTACCCAGAAGGGGAAGGACAGGACACACTCCCAGCCCACCTCCGGGTCTGCATGTGGCTTGGGAATGTCACACACAGCAAGGACCTGAAGCTCCTCCAGCAGGGCAACATGGTGGTGTATGCAGAGACGGTAAGTGGACACACGTGGCATTGGGAGGGTAGGGTAGAAGGAGCATGACAGGGCCAAGGCAGAGAAGAGCAGGCCAGACAGTGGGACATGCAGTTCAGAAAGGGAAGGTGAAGAGACAATAGCTCAAACTCAAATCTGACAATATGAGAGCTCCGAGAGGTGGCAGTGACGAAAGCACTCATGGATCATGCTGGCCTGCTAACACTAACATGTGCTAACAAACGGGGTCTGAGTGGCCCTCTGGTGTCTGGCCACACTGTCACTGTTCCTGGTGCAAGTTTATCGAGAACTTTCTCAAGGTATGTGAATATATCAGGGCTCCAGATTGTACCAACAGGCAGCTTGGGACCCCTGCAGACCCTTGCCAGACCTTCAGGCCAGACTGGAGGTCATGGATGGTGGGGAAAAGCCAGGAAATGGAAAAAAAAAAAAAAAAAGCTGGAGTGGAGGCTTCTGCCCACAGAACATCAGGATGCAGGGGAACAGCTGGGCAGATGGCTCTGCAGAGGGCAAGGGGTGCCCTTTGCACTTTGGAGGAGGGCTGGCCCAGGAAAATAGCTCTGCCAGCAGCAGGGAAGAAAGGTTTGAGTGTCAGGCTTTTAGTGACCTTTTCTGGGGAGATGTGAACACATGTGTCCCCGCTCTCATGTGATGTGCTAACCTCAGATGTGCTCACATGGACTACTGACCTCAGATGGGTGACCGATGACAGAACAGGGAAACAGTTCCGTCCAGGTCCAGCTTGGTGAGCCAACGGGTTTAACTGGGGTTACTTCCAGAAGCACAATCAATGTAGGGGCAGCTACAGTGCTGAGGAAGCTTCCTCCCAGCAAGCATTAACTGCTGATATACACCGGGGAGGAGAGGAGCCCATGAGCCTCGTAAGCCTCTCATGTACACCAAACAGGAACGGGTGGCCCCATCTTCCTTAGTCTCCTATGAGTAGTCATAGCTGATCTGGTGTTAGGACAACAGCAGCTGTGTCATGTCTGGAAGACAGAATTCCACAACACAGGCCTTTTAAGTTATGGAATTAAAATGTTTGTGGAGTTGATTGGCGTGTACATGGAATCTCAGTACTTGGGATGCTTAAGCGGGAGAATTGCTGAGAGTTCCAAACTGGCCTGGGCATTAAAACATTGTTATGTTTTTAGGGTGCACATGTGGCTACTATAACACAGTAGGTTCCCCTTGTCAACAGTGTCTACAGTGTCTACAGTGCAGAACCAGCTGTGGCTTGAAAATGCAGTTAAGTCCGTGACGACTGCATCTATACCAAACATGTACACACCTGGTGTCACTGTGACCTTACCAATCCTCTAGAACAACTGCTGACACAGCATTGCCTTTGGATTGGGTCTTACAGCACGTATAGATGAGTTAAGGTATACATTACACACAGGTGCTAGGCCATTTTAAAGTGTGAGGGCTTAGAGCATGGATCATGGTACCCAGGGACATTCTGGAACCATCCCCCCCGGGGTTGTCAAGGGACAGCTGGGTCTAGCCAGCTCTGCATAAGGCAGAGGTAGAGAAGGGATGGAGGGGGTTGTTGTAGGAGAAAAGACAAAGGGGTAGCACGCAGGGTAAGTGTGCCACAGGACCGGATTTCTCAGGTCTGTGGTGACCCAGGAGTAGGCAGGCCACACTGGAGATGCAGGCTTTAGCTGGGCCTCACCCCACTCTGCTGGCTAGGCAACGCCAGGTAGTGGTGGCTGCTGAGCTTCACTCTGCTAAGTACATAGGGAGATGGCCCTGCCTTGCCTGGCTACCGCATCTCTAGAAGCTGGGGAACAGGGGTCTGAACATCACCAGGACCAGGTGGTGGGTGAAGGAGGTGCAGGCACTGACTGCGACTCCCCTCCCCCAGTATGAGAATCAGGCCAAGTACAAAAACCAGTGGGGACAGCAGGGACTGTACCACTGCCCCAACTTCTCAGATGTCATGGGACACAAAGCTGTCCCCAAGACAGATTTCAAGGCTCCCCAGGGATGGCATTGGCAGGGCGACTGGATGGTAGAGCCTCAGAGAAGGTAAGGATGGTGCAAACCCTGACCTGGCTCCTGGCATGTCCTACTCTGTGACTCCCTCTCCCCTGGAAGGGCTAGTCGGTGAAAACTTAAAGAGGTGGCCCCAGAGCCACCAAGCTAGTCCCTGTGAGTGGGAATACATAAGACCAGTGGCCCGACACCCTGTCTGCATGCCAGGCTCTGCCTTGCTCAAGGGAGGTGGGGTGTTTAGCCAGCAGAGGGTGGCCCCTGGAGTTCAGACAGCTCTGGGAACTTGGGGTATCACTGCTGCCCAGACTCCTCCTGGACACAGACATCAACAAGAGCCAGGTGCTGGAAGAGGTGTATGAGAACCAGAGCCGCAGTGCCTTGGGGGCCTGGGGGCCTGCAGATATCCCCAACACAGATGTGGTAAGCATCCTACCATAGTACGGGGGGCAGGGAGAGGCAAGGACAGAAGGGGGAATCAGAAGCTGGGGTGGCCAGGTAGTACGAGCTATGTCTGAGCTTTGTTCTGTTCAAGCTGTGGGACCCCCAGATGGGCGTTTCAGCCCTGTGATACCCTCTTTTAGCACCGATGAAGGGGTTGCCCTCAAGGACAGCAAGCTGTAGATACCTTAAATAGGATGTCAGAAGGACCTGGACACTGCGGTGCCTGCCTGTAGTCCAGCTGCCTTGGGCGAGGGAGCAGAAGGGTCACTTGAACCCAGGGCTTGGAGTTTGAACCGGAGTTCTATCCCCATTACCCACATAAAAAGTCAGGCATGGTGGTATGCAGTTGTCACCCCAGCAGCAGGAAGGCAAAAAGAGGTGGTCCCCTAGTCCTTGCTGGACAGAGAGCCTAGCTTAGCAGGCCAGCACCCAGATCCCAGCAAGATGTACCATCTTGTGCGGTGTGGTGGCACGTGCCTGCAATCCCAGCACCTAGGGAGGCAGAGGCAGGTGGATCTCTGTGAGGTCGAGGCCAGCCTGGTCCAGGACAGCCAAGGCTACACAGAGAAACCCTATCTCAAAACACCAAACAAACAAACAAAAGATATTGTCTCAAAAAAAAGATGAATGGGTTCCTGAGTGAGGAGATAACCAGCATGAGCATGTGTATGCAACACACACACACACACACACACACACACACACACACACACAATCATGACATAAATAGTCTTTCTTCCCTATCACTGTTGAGCCTAGGAAGTATGGTACTGTGATACAGGACCTAGTCTTTGAATTTTGTTTCATTTAATGGAGTAAATTAAGTGAGTAGAATCATGCAAGTCATGCCTGTCCCCAGTGCCACAAGGAGCAGGCTGTTCACCTCTAAAGAAAAGAGCTGTGGTGGCAGCAGAAGGAGCAATGTTTTCTAGCTGAGGGGGTGGCTGGAGGGTCAAAGATTGGGGTGTGTGTGAAAAACGAGCAAAGACAAGTTTTCATTTCCCTCACATGGCCTTCCCGCCCCCTCCTCATCCCTACAGAATGGACAGCCTGTAGAAGCCCTGGAGAATGTGAAGTGTCCCCAAGGCTGGCACTTTAAGAAGAGCTGGATAGTAGAGCTTAACCACGCAGTGGACAGCGAGGGTCAGTCTCTGGTCCATCAGGCATGAAGGCCTCAGACCCAGAAGCACTCAAGTCTGGTTCTTCTGGGAGCCTCCGAGCAGCCAAGCTCTCAGGCCGGATGGCTCTGAAATATTGGAGTTCCCAGCTTCCAGGGAGTAGGGTCTCTACTTCCTAGTGTTGAGATGCACCTCCCCAGGCTTGACCCAGAACAAACCTGGTGGAGGGATGCCAGTGAACATAGATTTGGTTGTAGGGCCTCAGTTTACCCTCAGTTTACCTCAGTTTACTCCAGGGAAGGAGGAGTGGGTTAGAAGTCTTGAAGCCTGGGCTATAGAAACAAGCAGTTGCTGCAGTTGGTTCCTCGTAGTCCAAATTACACAATTTGAGATAGAGGCTCCCTCTATCCCCAGAACCTGTCTCTCTAGAGCCCTCTTCTCAGGCGTGTCAAAGCCCCCCAAGCCTGCAGGTTCAAGTGGACCCAGAGGTCACGGTGCTGCCCCTGCAGGATGGGAGTATGGAGTGGGGATCCCACCCTCCGGCATGCCCCAGATCTGGAACTCGGTGGAAAAGACCTACCATTCCTGCCGCCGGCGACGCTGGGTGCGCGTGCGCTTCCGGAATCACCAGAAGCTGAGCCAGGAGCAGGAGGCCATCTCCTTCCTGCAGATGGTGAGGAGGAGGAAGGGACCCGACTGGGACACAGGACAGGAGCACGACTCTGAGTCCCTGCATTCTTCCCTGCAGCAAGACCTCTCTGAGGAGGGAAAGGAGGGCTGGGAGTACGGCACCTTTGACTCCAAGTTCCATCTGGACCCTCAGCCCACAAGCCGGTTCCGTCGCCGCTGCTGGCACCGGCGGCTGGCACCCAACAAGGCCAGGGGTGTGGCTCCCATATTCCTCCTGGAGGGATCCTTGGTAAGGCCTCTGTGGGTTGGGTGACACTTGCTCCACCTACCACAGGATGGGGAACACACATCCCTGACTCCTGCTGGCTGGCCCCAAATCCTCAAGTTTGGCAGAGGGGTAGAGGGTGGCTGGGCCCGGAGGGAGGAGTCAGGGAGTACTGAGGACCTTAAGAGGGCCTTTCCGGGCGCAGGCAGTGGAGCTAGAAAACCAACCTGTGAGGAAATTGGAGAGGACGTTGTCATGGAAGACCTTCTGGAGGCACACCCCTGAGGATCCCCGGATTCCCACCATGCCTTTCATCTACTGCGTCTTCAACAGTGAGCCAGGCCTGGGAGTCTACTGAGGGGCCCCAGAGGCCGGCGCCTGAGGTGGGGGCGGCGGAGCAGGGAGGAGCCTGTGAGGGCCTTGGGGACCGGTGCTGAATGAGGCTTCTCTTTACCCAGAGCCTCACTACTACCAGCTCTTCTGCTATATCTACCAGGCCCGGAATCTGCTGTACAACCAGATCCTGACCTTTCAGAGTAGGCGTGTTCTTCATTATTCAGCGGGGTCTCCTATCCCCCAAGGCCCAGCACATAAGTCCGCGAAGAATATGTAACAAAGATGCAAATCCCAAAAAGCTTGTTGCTATTGCTGTGGTGAAATGCCATGACCAAAAGCAACTTGGAAAGGAAAGGGTTTATTTCTCTCACACTTTCCAATAAGAGTTCATCATCTAAAGTAGTGAAGGCAGGACCAGAGGCCATGGAGGGGTGCTGCTTACTGGCTTGCTCCTCACGACTTGCTTGACCAGCTTTCTTATAGAACTCAGGACCACCAACCCAGCCACACCCACCCACAATGGACTGGGCCCTCCCACACCACTGATAAAGAAAATGCCCTACAGGCTTGCTTGCCTCCAGCTGGATCTTATAGAGACGTTTTCTAACTCTCCTCTCCAATGATTCCAGCTTGTATCAAGTTCACATAAAACTAGTCAGCACAAAGTTTATGGCTGTAATTGGCAGTATGTGTGTGTGGGGGGGAGACTCCTCAAAGTCTCCAAATCCAGGGTGCTCTTGAGACATGACCCCAATGCTGTGAAATTTGGAGGGGATGCTGAGGAACTCAGTCACTTAGCTGGGATCACACTAAAGGTCTAGAAGAGAGAGAAGCTTGGAAAAGAGGACGGGAAGAGAGGTGAGACTTGAATGACAGGCTGGGCTGAAGAGGTAGTTCAGTGGTTAAGAGCACTGGCTGTTCTTCCTAGAGGACCTGGGTTCAATTCCCGGCACTGACTTGGCAGCTCACAACTGTCTGTAAATCCAGTTCCGGGAGATCCAACACCCTCACACAGACATATATGCAGGCAAAACACAAATGCGGCAAAACACAAATGCACACAAAATAAAAAATTTAAGAAGAGAGTGTGTGACATGCTGGGGCACCACACCACTTGAGGCTTTGTAGACAGGAAAGAGGCCCCGTGTGAGGAAGAGCCATCCAGCCTTTCAGGAGATGAGCTGAGTATTCCCACCCTGTCCTGTTAATGGTACCATTTGTAGAAGACAAATAATGGGTGGCAGGGAACTGGGATGTTCATCTGAGATGTGTCCCTTGAGCATCACCAGCCATATTAAAGGACACTTGCTGAGTCTGTGGACAGTCAGTAAAAGGAAACCTTATCCCCAGCACCCTTCCATCCCTGTGAAAGCCAAGGTGTAACCACAGTGGGCGTGGCATCTACGTGGATGGAAGGGAAGGTTCCTGTGGCCTGTGGTGTATGCACAGTTGATCTGCAGCTCCTGCAGAAGGGTTGGCAGCCACAGTGGCTGTCTGTCCTGAGTCTCCTCAGGTCTACTGGTTGTCACTTCAGAGGGGAGGGGAACCTTCCTCGGCAGTTTGGAGCTGTGACGCCCTGCCCTCCCTTCTTGCTCTAGAGCCTTTTATCCGAGTGGTATTCCTGAACCACAGCCTGTGCACCCAGACCCTGCGAAGCTCTGCAGCTCCGACATGGGCCCAGACGCTCATCTTCCAGCACCTTCTGCTCTTTGAGAACCCCAAGGATACCAAAAAGAACCCTCCACTTGTGGTGCTGGAACTGTGGCAGCATGACTCAGGGGTACAGCAGGCTGTGTCTGAGGGAGGAAGTTCTACCTCACAGTTTTGCTTCAAGATAGAGGTGTATTTTAGAACAAGGTGTTAAAGTATTCAGTGAGGCCGTTGTTCAGAGGCTATGTAAATGTGCTAACTGCAACCCACTCCCATGCTGGAAGCCTGGTTGGGCCTGCATGGTCTATGAACTCCCTTCTCCTCTAGGGAAAGGAGATCTTGTGGGGGCGGAGCATGTGGCCTCCAGTGGTCTGGCTGAACCTCCAAGGCTGGGTCTTGGCCCCTCTGAGGTGGCACCCCCTTGTCAAAGAGTTGGGAGAGGAAGAGGGCGCGGTCTTGGCGTCCTGTGAGCTGATCCTAGAGACACAGGTACAGATGGGAAGAGCTAAGCTCTCGTGCCCTCGGCCCTGCCTCCACCTCCAGGTTTCCACAAACACCAGGACCCACCCTCCCCTATGGAAAGGTCTGAGCCTCAGGACAGATTCAGTGCTGTCAGCCTGGCCAACCTCCCTCTTAAATCCCCTCCAACTCCAACCTGTAGGCCTGGGGCTTCTTTAGCAGAGCCCACTAAGGGGTGTGTTGCTACTACAGCCTCATGCTCCCTCATTTCCCTCCTCTGCCCTCCAGAAGCTGAAAGACCACCACCTGCCAATCCTAAGTGTCCCCTGTAAGAATGGGGTTTACATGCTTCCCAAGAACATCAGGCCTATCGTGAAAATGATGGCCATTGAGGTGTGTACAGATGGGGAGGTAGGCAGGGACAAGTGAAATGATAGTTATCATTTGGGGGCCCTTTTCTAGTCACCCACTCTAGCCCCCAAATAAATGACACGGAAACTCATGAGCTTTATTGATAAGCTTTAGGCTCAATAACTGGGCAGGTAGGGTCTTGTCTAACCCTCTAAGCTGGTCTGGCTACTTTGCAACCATAACTTGCCACATTGGTCCTGCCTGTGCTGTCTCTGTTCCCTCAGGCCAATCCCTTTCTCTACATCTTCTTTCTTCTCCCCTTCTTCCTTTTCCCCTCGTGGTCCCTACCGGAGACCCCAAGGCCTGTCTATCACCTCTGGCCAGTAATTGGTTGTCAGCTTCTTTACTAACCAATCAGAAATAATTGGGCAGCAAAGTTTACAGGTGACAATGTCCATGTCCAGACTGCAACTAGATCTCAGGGCCCAGAACTCAGTACCTGAATACACAGAGTACTAGACCAACCCCCAACAGATAAGCCTTCCCCAGAGCAGCCTTGGGTACCCTGGAGCTCTTGGTGAGACTTTTCTGACCACCTGGTACAAAGCCTGAATCCTAAGAACATATTCTCAGAAGAAAAATGAGAGCAGAGGCTTAGATAATACAGCCAGTCAGGCAGGGGAGCAGTAGACCTGAACTATCTTGTGCTGATTCCTGTACATAAGGTACTGACTTCCTGAGAAAGAAATCGAGGCTCAGAGACAACCTATTGTAGACACCATGACTGGAGCCTCGCTGACAGAAGCACGATTTAAAAGCCCATCCCTGCTTTGAGGTCAAACGGAGGCCTGTACATTGGCTACTCAGGATTTGGCAGATAATAATCAAGTAGTCCAGGAACCAGTGACTCCTTAAGACTAGCCAATGTCACTGGTCCCCACTCAGCTGCCAAGGAGGGTCTCATGAAGGGTATGGACATTGCTTTGTCAGTTTAGAGAGAAATCACAGGGTACCAGGTCACTGGTTGGTCATGGAGCTGTCTGAGACACAAGTCAGCAATAAGCTAGATGTTATAGGGACGCTGAAGAATCTGGGCACTGCCTGTTTCCGGGGGCTGTAGAGGTAACCAGCCTCAGGAACTCACTGAGGACTGTCTGGAGACAGTAATCCAACAGTGAGCAGGTGTGCCACTTTAGGAGGCCAGTGGGGGCGAGTGGCAGACTCAGCTGCTGGTTAGAGGCCACCTTCTTCGTGGAGAGAGCAGCCGGCAGCCAGGCCTTGTCGACCAGCCTGCCCCATCACAGGGCAGGAGACCTGGAGGAGCCTCAGACGCTGGCTCGGGCACTGCCTCGTTTCTAACCCTGCCATGCTTCTTCCTGCACATCACTTCCTGGCCACTTTGTCCCCGCCCTGACTAAGCGGTGCTCTCCACCCCTTGCCCTGCTCTCCCTCCTGGTTCTGACAGATTATGGCCTGGGGCCTTCGCAACATGAAGAAGGTGCGTTATCCCCAGCTCCTGGTGGAATGTGGAGAAGAGTCCCTGAAGACAGAACCCATCAGCAACTTCCAGGAGAACCCCAACTTCCCTTCGTCCACCTTCTTCCTCACAGTGGTAAGAGGCTGTGGGCAGGGGCTGGACAGTCTTCTCTCCTGAGGGGCCTCACGGTCCCCTCTCTTTGGGCTTGTAGTTCATGCCTATGGAGGAGACCCACGCACAGCCCCTGGTGGTAAAAGTGGTGGACAACCAGGTCTTTGGCCAGCAGGTCGTGGTCGGTCAGGCCAACATTGACTTCCTCCAGCCCTACTTCTGTGACCCCTGGGCTCTGGACTACACACCCGTGAGGCTGCCAAGTATGACTCTCCCCCTGGCCTTGTCTCTTGCTCTCTCCACGACACCCTCATTAGGAGTAGGGTGGGACCTTGGCTTTTTTGTAGGGTTGGCGCCCCTTTCTTGGCTTCTCTCTTCCTGAAGCTCGTGACTGTGTTCTCTCCACAGCTCTGTCTGTGAAGAAGCCTGATACTGTGAGTAAGGGCCTCAGGCTACCTTCTCCCATACCATTCACATGTAGAGGGGTGTCTATAAAGCCAGGCCTGTGAGGAGGCTTAACCCTACAGGAGAAGGCTATAGGCTTGGTCCTCAGGCAATTCTGCATGTGAGAACCACCTGAGGTTTCCTGTTTTGGACCTAAGGCCCAGTTCTGAGACAGTCTCATGTATCTACGATTGGTGTTGGACTTGCTATGTAGTTGAGGATAGCCTCGACCTCCCTATGTCCTGGCCTCTTCTTCCTCCCAGGTGCTGGGATTACAGGCATGCACCCAGATCACCTTAGCTTTTACTTATTTATTCATTTCTGTGTGGGGAACATGTCAGGGGATGTGTGCATACAGTGGTGGAGGCCAGACATAACTCCACCTTGCTTTCTGAGTTCGGGTCTCCCACTGGCCTAGAAATTGCTAACTAGGTTAGGCTAGACAGCCTACCACGACTGCAAACACATACTGTCATGCCGGGCACTTTTTACATTGGTTCTAGAACTTCAGATGATCATGCTTGCAAGACTGGGATGGTTAACATTGAATGTCACCTTGACAAGATCTTAAAATCACCCAGGAGACAAGCCAGGTGTCTATGAGGGATGATCTAGATGAGAGGAACTGAGGTGGGAGGACCCCTCTGAATTCGAGCTGCACCATCCCGTGGCTGGGTTACTATACAAAGCAGGAAAGAGCTAGCCTAACACTGGCATTCATCACTGTTTCCCAAATCTGTGTGCAACGTGAGCAGATGTCTCTGACACCTGCCCATATCTCTTCCTCACCATGATGTCCTGAATTGGGAGCCAGTAATTTCTTCTTCCCATAACTTGCTTCTTGTCACAGCAACAAGAAAACTGACCCAAAGCAAGCACCGTGTGGACTGAGACCTCCTCACTGAGACCCTGGCCCCGGAAGGATCCCACTAGAGCTGCCAGTCATTAAGATTTTATCCCAAGTCCCTTTACCCCTAATGCACCATGAATACAGCTCTAGGGCAACAGCACCAATTTTAAGGCATAGCAGCTCCTAAATGCCTTCATCAAAAGCAGGTGCTGCCAGATGGAGTGGTACATGCCTGTAATCCCAGCACTCAGAAAGATGGAACAGGAAGTTCTTGGGTCTGAGATGGCCTGAGCTATGTAAGCAAGACACTGTCTCAAAAAAACAAAAAACAAAACCAAAAACCAAGGGCTAGAGATGTACCTTGAGTGACAGATTGTTTGCCTAGCATGCACAGACCGGGAGTTCCAAACCTAGCACAAGATATGGAAGGGAGGGAAGGTTGATTTTGCTGGGTGGGGCATAGTGGTTAGGCCTGTAGTCCCTGCACTGAAGAAGCTGAGGCAGGAGGATCAAAATCTAGGTACACGGTGAGACTCACAAAACCCCAAAAGATTCTGCCTCCAGAGGTTCAGATAGAGTGTGGAGTTCTACATTTCTGAGCACGTTTGAGTCCTGTCTATATAGATGGGCAAGAAACACCAGGAAGCATGGTTCCTCTCCTTCACCCTCCCCTATGCTGTAAGGCCTGTGTAAAGCACAAGGGGACAGGAGAGCGAGGCTGGGCTCCCACCTCAGCCTGCTTTTTCCATTCTACTCCTCTAACCCTCCTCACTTTTCAGTTCCTGGACTCACTCTACAAGAAGTTCTGGTACAGTCCCAGAAAAGACGAGGTAAAGCAGATGCAGACCAGGAAACAAGGGCCAACCCCAATCAGCTCAGGGAGGGAGGTGGGCTGGAGTCCTGCCAGAGCGCCAGCAAGGGCCTCTTCTCTGTCAGGATGACTATGACCACGATGTGGACTGGTGGAGCAAGCTATTGTGGGCCACGAACGAGGACAAGTCCCCGAAGTACAAGTACCAAAGCCACCACACCCTAAAGGTTTGGAGGGTTCTTCGGCAGGGTGCCAAGAACCCCTCTACCAGCTGCTCTAGCTGAAGCAGACAGTGGGGCCAACACTTAGAGCAAGGCTTGGGGGCTCGCGGTCCCTTCATATCTTGATTCCCAAACAGTCCCTCACCAGCCTACACCCCTGCAGGTGTATGACTGTGAGCTGGAGGCAGTTCCAGCCTTCCAGGGCCTGCAGGACTTCTGCCAGACCTTCAAACTTTACCAGGAGCAGCCCAAAGTGGACAGTCCTGTGGTAGGGGAATTCAAGGTGTGTCTATGACAGCTTGGCTACCTGTCTCTCTGTAGCCCATCTGTCCCCATAGTCTCTAATAAAAGCCCTGGCCCTGCACATCCCTCAGGAAGGTGAGCAAGGACCCGAGAAACAGCTCCACAAGTAGAGTGACACAGCTTGGTCCATGCAGCCAGGGACTTTGGGAGGCAAGACCTTTAGACTCCCAGCTCTGGCTCATGCTGGCCTCCCAAAGACACAAGCCTCCGACACGATCAGACCTGAGGGCATAGGTGCGCATAGTCTGGGGACATCAAATAGCTTCGAGTGCCTTTGTCCAAGGCTCCTTTAAACTCGGTGGTCCCTGCCTGAAGACTCCTGCTGCTCACCCTCAGCCCCCACCCCATCCAAGGCTGCACTCAGGTGGTTACGGGGGTGGGGGACACCTCACAAAGTTAGGCTAGCACAGCCGGATTGGGCTACAAATACTGTCTCCCTCTCAGGGCCTCTTCCGAATCTACCCCTTTCCTGAGAACCCAGAGGCCCCTAAACCCCCACGACAGTTCTCATGTTGGCCCAAGACTGAGGATTTCCCTCAGACTTGCATGGTACGGGTGTACCTGATCCGAGCCATCAACCTGCAGCCACAGGACTACAATGGCCTGGTAAGAATGTAGTCCCGTGTGTCACCAGTGGCCCCACCCCAAACCCAAGTCACCTCCGGCTGTTTACACCCACACAGCCGCCCCTACAGGCACACCCTCCCTAACCTTGACCAACTCCCCTCTTCCTTTCTATCCAGTGTGACCCTTATGTGATCCTGAAACTGGGGCAGACGAAACTTGGCAGCCGGGACTCGTACTATCCCAATACTCTGGATCCCATCTTTGGCACGTGAGCTGTCCCCCGTCACCCACTGTCACTTTTCTAGTCCTCCATGCTATGCTGAAAGGCAGTTCCATTCAGCAGATGCATTCTTTCAGAGCCTCCAAGGCCCCCAAGGGGTGCCTCGCTGGTTCTTAGGGGCTTAACAGGTGGAACAGAATTGGATAACCCACAACTTTGTTACACACCCCACCCTCCCCCAAAGAAAGGCACTCCGGCCTCTGCCCCGGCCATCTAAGTTACTTTCAGCCACGCTCAGGGACTACACCATGCTCGGCTGCCCACCTTCGCTGGGAAGGAAGAGGTGGGGCAGGGACTCTTAGGCCGAGATGTTGGCAGTGAGGCAGAGTGTACAAGTCCACAACCAACTTCTAACCCTTTGCCTCTAGGGTGTATGAACTCATTTGTAACATCCCATTGGAAAAGGACCTACAGATCCAGCTATACGACTTTGACCTAGTTACTTCTGATGATGAGATTGGAACTACTGTCATTGATCTTGAGAATCGACTTCTGTCTAGCTTTGGAGCCCGTTGTGGGCTCTCGAAGTCCTACTGCATGTGAGTGTGGATCCTTTCAGCAAGCAAGCTGGGGTGAGGCAGTGAGCCCACAGCTTCCTGAGAAGCTGGGAACCTGGCAGGACCCACGCCTCTGCCTGCATTTCTAGTACCCTCACCTGCAGCTCAAAGCCGTGTGTCTCCAGGACATGCTCCTCCCTATCTGCAGCTCCTGTATCCTCCCACAGGTCGGGGCCCTTTAGGTGGCGGGATCAGATGTCCCCGAGCTCCCTTCTGGAGCGCTACGCCAAACAGAAAGGGCTGCCTCTACCCGTATTTAACCTGGAGGATGACTCCGTTTTCTACAATGGGAAAAGGCTCCAACTGCAGAGCTTTGGTGAGCCCAGCAGACTTCCATGCGGTGCAGGTGACACCTCAGGGGGCCAGTGAGAACGCAGGCAGCGAGAGGGGGCAAGATGAGGGGTTGCCCCTGTGCAGAGGGAACATCTTCTCCCTTCCCCCTTCCTTCTCGTAGAAGGTGACCCTAGCCGTGCACCCAGCCAGGGCCGGGGAAGGCTCGGGGGGAAATGCCAGTGACCTCATCACCCACCCCATCTCCAATCCAGAGCCCACACCCCCTACCTTGGAGAATTTGGGACCTAAGAAGGAGCGCCTGGCACTGTACATCCTGAACACCCAGGGCCTGGTTCCTGAGCACGTGGAGACCCGTACACTGTACAATAACAGCCAGCCAGGTATTGACCAGGTATGTGATTGCCGAGGCGGCTCCTGCCTCCTAGGGATTGGACTAGACCAGGAGATACGGGTGTCCATCCACCCAGGACATAGTCTACAGCGAGAGGCAAGGACATGCCAACAACTCACATGCATGCGCAGACAGGAGCCAAGCATTGTCTGTCAGTAAGAAAGCTGATCCAATGACATCAGAGAACTTCACACCTGGAAGGGCCGTGATGAATGGATGGATGCCTCACGGCGGCTGTGGGGAGCTGTTAGGGCGTCCTACCAACCAATAATGCCACTGTTTTGCTCTCCTGGGGACAGAGAGGTGACACTATAGATCAGGGAGCACAAACGTCGCAAAGCCCAGTTCTGGCCACCAAACTGCAGGCTGCCTTCTCTATGAGAAGGAACCCGGGCATGCAGACCCCCAAAGGCACCGTAATTGTCCCTCACTGTCCAGCTACCAAAATGGCTTCATCTTCTATAAAGTTTTCACACCCATGAAGCCCTCATGAAGCCTTCTCCTGAGCAGTTTTAAAAATAACCGTACTCATTAAGCTGGCTTTCTCAAATGGGTCAACTCCAAGGAATTAACGTAGGTCAGATGGTTTGATGGGCAGAAACATTCACCTATCTTCCAAGGCTATTTTTCCCTATGTCCCGCTTTTTTCACTACTAATTCTCTCTTGAAACTCTCTACTTTGAGGCTGGCTTGAAATCCGTAGGTTGTGATCACAAAACACAAAACGCCCTTATTGACCATCTGGTTTCCTCTCACTTAGGGCTTCCATGCTGCTGAGTGCATGAGGCCCAACCCCAACATGGATCCCCACCAACAGGCCATCACACATGCCCTCCTCAACCTTCACCCCCAAGTCATAAGTGAGACCTCAACACCCACTCATGTTTTCAAAGTCAGATTGTCCACCCCCAATCACTCGTCTTCCCAGCCAAAAACTAAAGGGGCTGCCAGGTGACCCTCACCCCCTAGAGGGTGACGCTTGCCATCTCTAAGCCTCATCACTGGGTGGTGAGAACCCCACCTCATCCAAGCCTCATGCCTCATGCCATCCTACTGCAAAGAGACAGGCAACCCCCAACCAGCAAATCCATCTATCCCGGCTCTAGGGGAAAATACAAATGTGGGTGGACATCTTCCCCAAGCTGCTGGGGCCTCCCGGGCCCCCAGTCAACATCAGCCCCAGGAAGCCCAAACGGTGAGTATGTGAAAGCCCAGTTCCTGATCATGGCACCCAGTGCAGCCCCAGGGTGCTGGCTGCCTCTGTCCCCCAACCCCGAACAGCTGGAATTCTCTATCAAGTTGAGAAGGAGCTTTACTGCCCAAGCGTGGGCTCTGTGGGCAGCTCCTCCCTCAGCAAGGCTGGCTGGGGGCTGGGGGTGGGGGCTGGTCCTCCACCCAGCCTCAGAGCCCAGTGGCTGCAGGTACGAACTGCGCTGCATCATCTGGAGCACCACCCAAGTGGACCTGGTTGACCAGACCTTAAGTAAAGAAAAGATGAGCGACATTTACGTCAAGGGGTGAGGCACGACCTCGGGAGCAGGACCACCACAGGAGGGCCCCTAGTTCCCTGGTTCTGTCGCCATGCCGTGGCCTCCTAGTCCTCAGGGGAACACCTGTCTGCCACCACTTGTGCCTTGGGGAGTGGGGACCACACACGGAACCCCCAGGTGAAAGGATTGTTCCCCCAGGTGGCTATTTGGGCTAGAGGAGGACATGCAGAGGACAGATGTCCACTATCACTCCCTGACCGGGGATGCCACCTTCAACTGGAGGTTCATCTTTACCCTGGACTACCTGTCAACTGAGCGCGTATGCATCCAAAGTCAGAAGGTAAGGGGTGGGGAGGAGAGGCGGAAAGAGGCCTAGGGTCCAATGGGTCCCGCCTCCTTTCGGGGACCTGAAAGCTGTGACAGGGCGTTAGGATGTGTACTCCAACAGAACCCCTCTTCCTTGATGTCTGTCTGTCACTACTGACCAATGGGTACCCAAGAGAACTGTCTAAGAGGTAGGCCACTAACAGCCTGCTGCGGTCCTCCAGGACTACATATGGAGCCTGGATCCCACGTCAATGAAGTTTCCGGCCCGGCTCATCATCCAGATATGGGACAACGATTTCTTCTCCCCAGATGACTTCTTAGGTGAGTCCTGGTGAACGGTGTGTGACACCAGATAAGGAGCTGTGTTGCTGATGATGTTCTTCTCTGGGGCCAGGGGTCTTGGAGCTGGATTTAGCAGATATGCCCCTCCCGGCTCAGAAAGCCAAACACTGCTCGCTCAAGATGATGGAGACGGACTCCAAACAGCCATCTATGCAATGGAAGCACATGTCTCTCTTTAAGAAGACCAATGTAACCGGATGGTGGCCTTGCCAGGTCAACGATGGTGACAAGTGGCGTTTGTCGGTAGGAGCTGGGGAAGGTGTTGAATGACTAGGACCGCTATGCCACCTAACCTAACTCTAGCAGGCTTCTTGGGGGCGTAGGAACCTCTTCTCTGTGGAGGTAGGGAAGTGGTCCCGAGATGAGGGTGCCATGCTGCTGACACAGCAGCCCCTCCCTGCTCCATCCTTTGGTGTTCCTAGGGTAAAGTGAAGATGTCCCTTGAGATGCTGCCGGAGAGAGAAGCTTTAATCAGGCCAGCTGGGCGAGGCCAGTCTGAACCCAACCAATTCCCTACGCTTCACCCTCCTGTGTAAGGGCCCACGGGGGAGAGGTGCAGGCCCGCTTTTCTCCTCCATGGTGTAGGGTGGGCCCACCACATGATGGGCCTCCATGTGGAAAGGGAAAGCTACTTCCTCCTACAAGGCTAGGCTGACGTCAGAAAATAAGACTTGGGGTTGGCTGTGAGGGGCTCCCCGATCTTTGCTCTTGATCACTTGAGCTGACGGTTCCTCTTGCCTTGCATCCCTGGCACCGGCCATCATGGGCAGACGCCATGACTCTCTCTTGTGGTACCGATCACCTATTAAAACCATCTGCTACATTTTCTGCAAACGCTACCGCTCCAAAATCATATGCTTAGTGGTGACACTGGTCTTAGGGATTATACTGTTCAACTTCTTCTATTCGGCTCCGGTGAGTGCTGACTAATAGGGAGAGGTCAAAGGCATTGGCCACTCTCACAACACTTAGTACATTTAGGTTGTTACTTTGAGCTAATGTGGTGTCTCTTCTCTCTAGAGCTATTTAGCCATGAAGTTGATCAAACCTGAATTTCGGCTGAAGCCTCCCATTAAAATAATCAACCTCATCAGCTCAGTGAACACCAGCAATGCCAGTAGTGTCAACTCGTCCGTCTACACCATGGAGGGCTCCAAGCTACAGCCTTTAAAAGACCAGGAGCCAACACTCCTCCAAGTACCCAAGAATAACACGACAGCAATCTTCCCAAAGATTCCAGTTCCACAGGGCTAGGTGACCTGGCATCTCTCTCACCTGCCAAGGACCTCGTTGCCTTGGGCTTCCTGGCAGATACTTGTTGGAGCCTTGACGGCCATTTGCAAGAACTGTGCATACTGACTCGTATGTTTAGAGACCGTGTCTAGCGGGAGAAGCAGAGCTGTAATTTTCTAGTGAAATAAACGTTTTTCTAACAAAGCCACCTTGGAACTTGGGGGTTGGGATTGAAGACAATGTGAAAAGCTGAAAATGCCAGCTCTTTATTTGAGACTTGGGAATGATGCCACATTTAATCGCCCCATCTAGTCCTGTTTTTCTTCTGTGTGAGGCTCTGACAGAGAAAATAGGGAAAGAGTAACTGTGAGTCATATAGTGAGGCCACGGCTTACCCAGGTGTGAGCAAGTGCGCACGAGTCATACCAGGAGCGGGCACTGGCTCCTCCAGGGCACATTCTGGGCCACAGTGCCCGCAAAGACAGCCTCACTCGTCGTGGGAAACATTCGTTTCTGCCACGAAAAGAGCTGGGGCAGGATGCATGATGCTGAATGGGTGGGGGTTTGGTTGGTTGGTTTTGGTTTTTCGAGACAGTTTCTCTGTGTAGCCCCGGCTGTCCTGGAACTTGATCTGTAGACTAGGCTGGCCTCGAACTCAGAGATCCACCTGCCTTTGTCTCCAAGTGCTGGGATTAAAGGTACACTACCACCACCTGGCATGGGTGGCTTTCCTGTGCACACTTCTCAAAGGGGAAAAGACTGGTTCCCAGGCTACGTGAGAACTCCAGGTCCTATCTTCTGGCCTCCCGTAAAAGCATCAAGGTCCTCACAGAGCAACCACACAGAGCTGACTCTCTCCCCCCTACTCCTCTCCCGAGGGAACCCTTTCTGTCCCACTGCTATGAGAGTCCTCTCAACAGCCCACTGAGGTCCTCTCCTACAGACCCATCCATTCTTCCTTTGAGCTCAAAACAACTCTCATTTCTATCCAGTGCTCCTGGTCCTAGGGCCAACCTCTACATCCTAGCTTGCCCCCTGGCTCCCCTTAGCTTGCCCCCTGGCTCCCCTTAAGCTCTTCTGCTACTGTAGGACGGTACACAGAGGCTTTCTGCACCCCACCTTTATTCCCCCTGTAGAAAGGCAGCGCACACTATGCTGTTTAATAGAGCACAGAGGCCCGAGAAGATGAACATCCGGGGGCAGCAAGGGTGACCCTTTCTCCTAGTGTAGACAGGGTGAGGGATGACCGTGCAGGTTTCCCCAGCCACCCAGGAGGGGCAGGGTAAGAGCTGACGTACTTGAGGCTCAGGAAAAGGTGGGAGCCTCCCCACTAAGCCCACCCTAGGAGACGGCCACTGAGCCAGAACTCATGATTGGTTCCATCAGCCACTTTAAGACTTTCCCTTGGGCTACAGAGAACTCAGTTTCAGGCCCTCCAGGGAGACTGGCCTGTAACCAATTCAATCACAGGGCAGACAGGTGAGCAGCATGTGACATCTGTGGAATAAGGCAGTGTAAGGGGCGACACCGGGCACTCCACCATCAGAGCTCTTCCGGGCACAGGAGATGAAGGGCTTCTGCTCTCAAGAAATTTCTAACATGAGATCAGCTCTTCTTAGGGCGTGTCCAAGTCCAGGGAAGAAGGAGGCTGCTTTTTACTTCCAACATTCAAAGCAGGATCCCAAGAAGCATGACAAACACAAAACATGCAACTAGGCAGAATCCAGTGTGTCCAGACTACCTCTACAGGCAGCTACAGCGAACGCAGCTCTGTGTGGCACACCTGGACCTGGCTGACTGCACAGGTAATCTCCCGGAACCTGTGAACTTGTCTAAGCTTCTCTTGATTTGTAACGATTTTTAGCCAAACCATCCAAAGGCCTGAAAGACTCTGATTAGGAAGGCTACAGACAAAGCAACAGTCAAAAACAAGACTTGGGGCCAGCAGGGAGCAGAGGGCAATGAGCTAATGCAAGCTTCTTTCTTAGCTCAGGATGCACAGAGAGGACAGTGAGTAGAGGGAGGCAGAGGCAGGTGAGGCAGAACTCTCCGTCCAGCTTGCCAGTGGGCTCCTCAGGCAGAAAGGGGCATGGGCAAAGCAAAAACTAGTCAGTGGGTTTCCAGATTGTATGAGCTTGGTTTTCTATTTGGGAATCTGAAAATGTAGAAGGCCACTGTGTCCAGTCCATGCTTGGGCTATCTATGCAATTCTGTAATTTAGGCATCACAATAAGTAGTTCTCCAAGTCTCTTCACTCCTAAGTGGGAGGACATCAGGGAAAGGCACATCACAGCTGCTCGGCCCTGCAGGTGGCGTCTTAGGCCAGTGAGATGTTCCTGTGGATGACCATCCGAATGCAGAGTCCCTGCATTCAAAGCTCCAGTGTCAGAACACAGTCCCTGAACAACAGCTGGTGACTCAAGCTGACTTGCCAGGCTGTATGCCCAGACCCACACTTCATGGGTAAACATCATAGAGGGATTGATGGCAGTAGGCTCAGTAGAAGCGTTTTCGGCTCTGGTCATGCCATTTGTTGTACAGTATGATACCAATGACAATGGCAAATACAGAAAACACCAAGGAGAAAAAGACGATGAGAAATAGGGCCAGGCCACTCATGGGCGTTGGTGGTACTGTCACTGAGGAAGCAAGAGAGAAAAACAGTAAGGAATATAGAGGCCACCCCACAGTGGGTCAATAGCTTGTCCAGTTTCTGACACCCACTTCTGGGGAACCAGAGCCCAGACGCCCCCTTTCCAGATGGCTCAGTTTAAAAGCGAAGCAGGCCACCTGCTGCTGCCTGCCTGTGACAGGACAGGTGAGGAGGTAGTGCAAGCGGTCCACGTGCCTCTGAGCACAGATGGACCAACCTGACAGCTGTGGGTGCCGCTCACCCCAGACACCACGGACACTGAAACCTCCTCTCTGACACAGGCCATTTCCCAGATTCCCACACTCACTCTCAGGCAGCTTCAGATTATCCACTGAGGGCAGGAACACATCTCGATGTAGCTTTTCCTCTTCTGGGGTCCTCACTCCGGTCAGCTCAAACAACTTCATAGAAATGACATCATGATTATCTAAAGGAGAGAGCACGAAGGGTTACTCCAGCTACCTCAACAGGAGGGCTGCTGGCACTAGCATCTTGCTTCAAGCCTCTGATCCAAGCCTCCCCTGTCCCCTGCCAGCAGTGACCGGAAGAACTCTTGAAATCTAAAGTAGAAGGACTGTTTTCAGGGGAGCAAGGAGACTTAACAGGGGCAGAGAGTGGAAACATGACATGAGGATGGTGGGGAGGCAGGGCAAACACGCCATGCTTTCTCTCATGTGGGGATGGAGGGTTAAACACAGAACCCAAATGCCAAGGGAGGACAATCACAGGGAGGGAAGACTAGCCGAGGAGCAAAAAGATGGCGTTGGGGCAGTGAACATGAGCTAAGGACAATCGAATAAAGTGTCATATACGACCCTGTGATGGTGCATGCCTGTGATACCAGCACTTCATTGAAAAAGAAAACAGCCAAGTGAGGTGGCACATGCCTGTAATTCTGGCACTTGAAGGCAGAAACAGGAGGAATGATACAAGTTCAAGACTAGCTTAGTCTATACAAGAGACTCAGGCCAGCCAGGGCTATGCCATGAGACTATCTCAAAAGTAACAACAGCAAAAGCCAACAAAAAACAAACTTTTTGTTCGTTTGTTTGTTTTTTCTGAGATAAGGGTTTTTCCGTGTAGCCTTGGATGTCCTGGACTTGCCTTTATAGACAAGGCTGGCCTTGAACTCACGGAGATCCACCTGCCTCTGCCTCCAAGTGCTGGGGTTACAGGTGTGCACCACCTGGCTAAAAACCAAATGTTTTTAGAAAGTTAAAGCCTCATCATTTTCTTATCTAAAAGAATAAGGAATTGGATATATTCTATGTATTTTACTGGCAAACATACATTACTTAATTAATAAAAAACTTGAAGAGAATATTGAGATAATTGGGGCTAGGGAGATGGCTCTGGGGTTAGGAGCACGCGCTGAGGCCCGGAGTTCAGTTCCCAGCACCCACATCCAATGGCTCAGAACTACCTGCAGCTCAAGCTCCAGTGGTCCACACCCTCTTCTAGCCTGTGCAGGCACCAGCATACACATGCGCCTACAACACACACTCACACACAGTCAAAACCTCACACACTACTGAAGCTAGCTCAGTCTTCTATTATGCACTAAGGCCTCTCAGTAGTAAGACACACAGCACTGCTGCTTCCTATTGGTGGGGCAAAAACACACACATGGACACAGAGACACAGAGAGGCAAAACGGCCCCCACTATCTGCTTACTGGGCCTTGGTCAGTCAGGTCAAGATTACTCAAACGGAAGATGCTGCTCTTCCGAACTCTCTCTCTCTCTCTCTTTCTCTCTGTGGCTCCTTGGAGTTCTGACCCTAATCTCCCTAATGTACTAGAAAGGAGATCAAGGTTTCTCTCTTTCTGTGTACAGGTACAAACAGGCAAGACAGAGTTTAACAGTGTGGTGCAGGTTGGCCTTGAACCGCTGACCCTCTTGCTTCAGCCTCCTGAGTACTGGGATGACCGGTGTTTGACACCATACCCAGGCCCTACTTCTACCCTTTGTTTGTTTGGTCTGCTTGGTTTTAGGAGACAGACTCTAACTGTGTAGCCCAGGCTGCTGGCCACACATCTGTGCCTTTCTTGTCTCAGCCTTCTTAATGCTGGAATTGTAGGTGTGAGACATTGTGCCCAACTTCTCTCTTTTAAAGTTTTTGTTGTTGTTTGGTTTTTGTTACTCTGGTTTGGGGTTTTTTAAATTTTTTTGTTTGTTTAAGTGGAGCGTGGTGGTGCATGCCTTTAATCTCAGCACTTGGGGAGGCAGAGGCAGGCACATCGCTGTGAATTTGGAGCCAGCCTGGTCTACAAATTGAGTCCAAGACAGCCAGGGCTACACAGAAAAACCCTGTCTTGGGAAAAAAAAAAAAGTTATTTGGTCGGTTGGTTGAGACATGGTACCTCTATGTAGCCCCAGTTGTCCTGGAACTCAGAGAGCCGCCAGCCTGTCTCTTGAGTGCTGGGGCTAAAGGCATGTGCATCATGCATGGCCTTCCTGTCTTTTCTGACAAGTTCTAGGCCTGTAACATTTCTTGCCTCAGATGTAGCATCAGCTAATTCTTGAGGAAGCTCTGCTCCCTTCATCAGGGGTGGACACCGAGGCTGGCTGTTGTCAGGGATGTTTCTGCCATTAGGGCACCTCCCTAGCTCCTTGTTCAGCTACAGTCCTCAACAAACCCGGAGTGGAAGAAACTGCCTTCAGCTTCATCTAGAAAATGTTTTTGCTGTCAGAACTGAGCTTAAACTGTGGGACAGGATAAAAGGCCAGGCCAGGCCAGGCACATAGCACACATGTAATCTCAGCACTGAGGGGCTGAAGCAGAAAGATCCTGAGGTTCAAGGCTAGTGTAGGCTACACAGCAAGTTCTGGGTTAGCCTGGGCTACATAGACCTCTTCATAAAACAAAGTAAAACAAAGAAACAAATAAAACAGCAAAGATGCTAACAGAAAACTGACATTCCTTCTTTCCTTTCTTTTCATTTTGGAGACAGGGTCTGACTTTATAGCTCTGACTGGCCTGGAACTGTTATGTAGTCCAGCTCATCATCTTTCTTTTATTTACTCTGCTTTTCTTTTCTTTGTTTTTTTTTTAAAGATTTATTTATTTATTTAATGTATATGAACACTCTATTTTCATGCACACCAGAAGAGGGAATCAGAGTCCATTACAGATGGTTGTGAGCCATCATATGGTTGCTGGGAATTAAATTCAGGGCCTCTGGAAGAGCAGCTAGTGCTCTTAACCGCTGAGTCGTCTCTCCAGCCCCACTTTTTGAGGCAGGGTCTCACTATGTAGCCCTAGCTGCCCTGGAACTCATTATGTAGATCATGCTGGCCTCAAATTCCGAACTACCTCCCTTGGCCTCCTCTTTTTTTTTTCCTTTCCCTTGCCTTTCTTTGTCCTTCCTCAAAGTCAGGGCAATGCTCTCTATATTGTGGGGACATCAAAGCCTGGGCCAGTAGAGCAATATTTGAACTTTCTCAACAAATCCTTGAATTTAAACAATGAGACTATGCTGAGCGTAGCCGAGCACACCTGTAATTCCAGCACGTGGAAGGTTGTAGCGGGTGCTATCACTAGCTCAGGGCCCGGGTACAAGGCAAGACTGATTCAAAACAAAAACAAACAACTAAACCTCAAATATGCCAACAAACAAACAGCCAACATTAATAACAACAAAACTATACTTCTACAGGTTGGAAGTTTATAGACTTTTTAAATTGGCTGCCTGTGCCAAAACTAGGTACCATGTTAGCATGTCAACCAGGGAAGGGAAGAGCTTCGGAGTACTGGTGAAATGAGCTGGAGAGCGGCCAAAAAGATCGGTGAAGGCCCGGGCACTGTGCACAAGGAGGCAGACAGTGCTGTCCGGAACAAGGCCAGACAAAAGCCCTCTACAGTGTCTGCACATCAAAGAGTGGTGGACATGGAGGGTGGAGATGCAGGACCAAGCACAGCTCGGGAGGAGACAGGTGGCCAGCACGTGTGGACACAGGCTCCATCCAGACGTCTGAAGAAAGGGGCATGGAGGGTTGTTTAGGAGCGGGGTGATAGAGTCGAGGGGCAGCTCTGTGAGGAGAGGGAACTAGCTGGACACAGTAGTAAGTACAGGGCAAGAAGCTTGACAACAGGAAAGGCAGGAAGAGGTAGGAGCAGGGCATTCATTCACACAGGCTGGAGGAGCCGCCTAGACAAGCGCACACACGCTGCTTAGGTAGCTCCTATTACAACTGTCCCAAAAGAGCCTGGGTTGGAGATTTTACAGGCTCTAGACAAAAATGTGTAGCATTCTTAAACCATCCACATGGCTTCCCATAGCTCTTTCATGTGGCATCAGGCCTTGGGTCCTAACAAGAGGGAGCTACTGAGGCAAAAAGAGAAAGAACAGAGCAATACCAGAGAGATCCCCAGTGATGGAGGAAGTGCCGAAGTAATAGCCCCGTGGGAGCCGGACCCCAGGCATCTCGAGGCAGTCCCTCCACTCATGTTTGCCATCAATATCCATCATTATCTAGAATAAAGGAGAGAGATATCAGGGACAGGCCACAGGAGCAGAGCACATCACCAACTGCTCCAAGGCAGGGCTCACCGTCAGGTGCCTCTTGACATAGCGAATCACGAGGAAGGTGTCATATCGGAGATTGCGGACAATGGCTGTGCAGCCCCCTATCTCCGTGGGCCTCCCATCCCTCTCGTGATCGTAGCTGAGGGAGCCGTTGTTCACCATGGCTGAGATGTAGGGGAACACCCGCTGGAACACAGGGAGGGAAGGAGACCGTGAGGAGACCGTGAGCAATGCCTGCACAACAGTGAGGAACTGAGCCCCTAACGGATGAGCAGGGCAAACTGCCCCACTTCATCTTAAGCGGCCCTGGCCCTGCCTAAGGACCCACGCACAGATGATCACACGGGACATGAACCCAGGAAGCACGGAACTCCATGCTTGTGTTAGTAGCTCCCCTTGCTCCAGGCCTAGGGTAGACCTGAAGTGGCCCTGCAAGAGGCTGGAGTGACTCTACTCCTCACCGGGGCCACCATGTGGCACTTACACACCGGGACAGGTACTGCTTCCTGCCTTGCTTCTTGAAGAAAAGGAAAAATCACCTTCCAGGCCTCCACTTCAGCCCTATCCCTCTGCCCAAGCAAAGTGTTTTGCACACAGCAGGTATTCTGAAAAATACCTGTTCGAGTGGCCAGGGAACCCTTTCCAGTCTGGATAGCTCTTTTCAGCCTCTGGGGTCCTACACTAGATGAGGCTAAGTAGGACACAGAAAGCACTGTGGCACAGGAGCGAGCGGGCTTAGCCACAACCACTGCTCGCAGTCAAGGCTTTCAGCCCATCCACACATAGCTTCCCCCGACGACAGGGAGAGGGCGACTCACATAGGAAAACCTCAAGGTTCCCGTGCTACCTACTCGGGTTCCCACTATGTAAGAGATGCCTTCTCTCCAACAGAGCTGTACTAGCAGACTCTTTCCTCACAACTGGTGAGCTAACCATTCCAGAATGATCCCAGTGCAAGTCACTGCAGAGGGGCAGGGTGATGAAGGGGGGGGGGAGGAGGCATGCCGCTCCTTGGACAGGCTCCACACTGAGACAGTCAGCATGCAAGGTGGAAATGCGCTCAAGACCAGAGACGCGCGACGCCCGAGGCAACAGCCATGTGGATTCTAAGCAGCAAAAAATGTTGGATGGACACGTGAGAATACAGGGTGATCATGGTGAGCCAAGAACCAAGTACCTGGACTCCTGGAGAATAGCGCCTCTTCTGGGCCTGACAGGGTCCAGCAGTTATTACAAAAACAAGACAGGACACAACACAGGAGACCAAGTCAGGAGACAGCCTTGGAAGAGCTTTCCCCCTGCTGTTGCGGATGAATTAGCAACCTAAATGCCCATACAGAGTTTTAGGGTCCACAAAGGGCAGGCAGCAAGTTCTTGAAGCCTCACAATATATGCCAAAGTCCGGGCACAGGTGCTTGCACACCTCTGTGAGGCTGTCTGGCTGTCACCAGATTCTCAAGGAGCCGACCACAGGCCTCTCTGCCCTGTGGAGGGACCTGAGACTTTTAGCAGCTTTGTAAAACACACTGGCTTGCACTGGGCTATGTCTCCCAGACCTCTGTATTTCTATAGCATGGAGGGAAAGAGACAAAAAAAAAAAAAAAAAAAAAAAAAAAAAAAAAAAAAAAAAAAAGACTGGACTCGTCTAGGCTGGAGATGTCTTGTACCACTCAGTGTCTCAGGGTACAGCTCTTGCCCAGAAGAAAAGAATCCCAATGTATGAGACCATAAAATTAAATCTAATCCAAAGGGATCATTTACCCTCTAATTGAGCCTCATGGACATATATTTCCAAATAACTGTTGTCACTCTGACCTACAACATGGGGGCAGAGTGAAGCTCCGTGGGAGCGCAGCAGCGTAAGACTGAGAAAATCACTGGGCTTGAGGGCACTTTAGCTTTGCCTCAGCAAATCTCCACAGCTCTCAGCTACCAGCACTGAGAGAAACCCTCACATGCTCAGCTCAGCTCAGTTCATAAGAGGGTAGGGTAGGGGGTCCCAAAGCATTCATTCCTCTCATCCTTAGTGAGCACCTAGGGTAGGAGGCAGCACTGTTCCAAATGCTGGGGTCCAGTGGGAAATGGGCTGGACAGGTATCTGCTCTCACAGAGGCCTACCCAGCCTCAGAGAGCAGGGTGCGGAGGTGGGGGAGGTGTCAGAGGAGCAGCCCAGATGTTGTGAGCCACTGGCAGAACATATACAGCACCCTGAGGGGCATGTCATTCATCGTGGATGATTAAGCCACCATAGTTACTCTTATGCAACTGTCATTTAGAACAAGGTAATTGCCAGCATGCTATTAAGTAATTCTCAGAAATGGATTCTCAGAAAGCTCGTAACTTCAGTGAACAATTAAGGAAAGGAAGGGATTAAAAAAATGCCCTGGGGTGCTCTGATGACCCCAAGATTTGCTTCATTTATCACCTCCAATTACAAGTTTGACTTCAGCAATCCTTAGTCACGGCTACCCAACTCTCCCCAAGGCTGGTGTGCCATCTAATCAGCCAGCAATAGCCAAGGGGCAAGCTGGACCCAAGCTGACCTGGAGGAGCTTTTCATCTTTGTGTACCAGAGTCAAAGACTTTCACAGCAGTCTAGATGGGGCCCAGGGACTCAGTTCTGGTTTTGTTTTTTTGAGACAGAGACGCATGTAGCCCTGGCTGTCAAACTCTCTGTGTAGCCAAGGATGACTCAAGAGTTTCTCATCTCCCTACCTGTGCTTCCCAAATGCTTGGAATAAAGACTGCCACCACGCCCAGGCCAACAGAGTGCTGGGGACCAAATCTAGGGCTTCTTGCATGCCATGGAAGCATTCTAAATGAGCTACATCCCCAGCCCCAGGAAGAGCAAGACATGCCATCAAATGAAACACTAGATGACACTGAGCCACTTGTCGCCAAGGCTACCATCTGCCTGCTTCAGCAGCTCTCACTGCGCCTTCATCCAATGCCAGATCATTTTATGCTCCCAGTTAGGAGGGTTTAAAGTTTTCTTCGGTGGCCGCTGATTCACAGGATGGCAGTCCCTGGCAAACAGCCTATGGCTGGAACCAAACACTGAAGAATCACACTGACCTAGGCAAGGTGGGAGTTTCAGTCCTAATTTCAGAGTCACCAAAAGTGCGAAAATTCCCAACTATTGTCCAAATGAATACTGTCCTTATTACAGGAAATGTTTCCGAACTTTGTATCACGGAGCCACTCGGTTTTGAAAATGACCCTCTAACAGCTAACCGTACAGCATTCACTCACTAAAGACACTCATGATTCTTCCTTAGATCCTTCCTACTCTCGGGAGTGTTCTCACTTTTCTTGCTATGTCACCTTCTTTAACTTGGCTTTAAAGATAGAGAGCGTTTGAGAGAGGGAGGGAGCTGGGGCTATAGCTTAGAAGGGAGGGTGCTTGCCTGGCATGCACAGGCCTTGGGTTGGATGCTCAGCCCCACATAGAATTGCCCATGGTGGCACAAGCCTACACATGGCTACAGTTGTACTTGGTTACACAGAAAACTCCAGGCCAGCATTAGCTACATGACACCCTGTCTCTCTCACCATCCCCCCCAAAAGATACTCACAAACTTTTGAACCTACAGATTCTATACTAAAATTCTACAGGTCCAAAGCACATAGGTTGTGATCGCCTAACAGAAACAGCTCTGAGGTCACAGGGGGCCGGGTCCCGAACACCTTACGCTGCCTTTGGGCGGGCTACGGGCCCTCTGCAGCACTCTCATTGGAGGAAGTGAGAATGACACGTAAAATTCACGGGGTTAATATGGGAAGGAGATGAGGTGGGAGGACCACTTGGCACAGTGCCTGGCATTCAGGAGGAAGCCAATAAAAATCCAGTCAATTAATAGTCAAATGAATGAATTTTTACATTAAACACTGCTCAAAGCCAAACATTCATTACTGAGAGGAGTAATTTCCTTGGATGACATAGATGAGAAAGATGTCGAGAAACATTTGGGAATTAATAGGCTCAGTCTCTTTTTTAAATGTTATTGTTGTGTTGTGTTTGTTTGGTTTTGTTTTTTGTTTCTTTCAAGACAGGGTTTCTCTGTGTAGCCTTGGCTCTCCTGGACTCACTCAAACTCATGGCGATCCGCCTTCACCTGCCTCTGCCTCCCTGAGTGCTGGGATCAACGGCATGCATTGACACACCCAGATTATTCTCCCTTTTTCTAATATTGCATTTTAATCAACATTAATTAATTAATATTAAAATGCAATTAAAACTTTATCTATAATACCATTTTGCAAAAGCACATTTTAACACCAAAAAGTGAAGGACCATATAACTTCCTGAAACATACTTCAACTTACTTAGCACACAGGAAAAGTTACCTCTCTGTCAGAGTCCAACGGGGAGCATCTGGCACCAGCACTCCAAGCTCACCAGCTGGCACACAGAAGCCGCTCTTTCCAGGCAGTGCTTCCCAGGCTAAACCTGCTACAGGCTGCTGAGCTGTGTCTCCATGCTCTACAACTGAGGCGTGAGGAAGAGGGTGGGGAAAGGAAAGACGAGAGAGGGCTGCTGCAGCAGCTACGCCAAGGTGTTTGCAGTGTTCCCGGGGAGTCCATTTAGTGGAGAGGCAGCACTGTGTTCAGGGACTCTAGCAGGCTCTCACTTAATTCTCACTCCTGTGAGCGGTACTAGTACTAGTATCTTTGTTTTAAAAATTATACTTATTTATCTTGTGGGGAAAAGGAATGCCTGTGTGCTTTGGTGTGTGTGCACTCTGAGGTCAGAGGCCAACTTGAGGGAGCTGGTTCTCTCCTTTCACCTTTTGGAGTTCAAACTCGCTTGGTGACAGGCACCTGTAACTGTTGGGCCATCTGTGACCCACTGTTTCCTCACTTCACAGGCAATCTCGTCTGAGAAAACACTGGTACTTGGCAATGCACTTAAGGTCTGAAACCAAGCGGTCAGCTCAAGAGCCCTGTCTCAACCGCAGTGCAATACTATTTATCCATCAATATTTTTTTTTAAGATCTATTTCTTTATTATTTATACATTATTCTGCCTTCATGTGTGCCTATGCACCAGAAGAGGGCACCGGATCTCACTATAAATGGTTGTGAGCCACCATGTGGTTGCTGGGAATTGAACTCAGGACCTTTGGAAGAGCAGTCAGTGCTCTTAACCTCTGAGCCATCTCTCCAACCCCCCATCAACATTCTTAAAACTAAGTTCCAGGCAAGTACAGGGGAGAGCTCCCAGGACCAAGAGGGGAGAGGCAGGGCTGCTGCCATGAGGGCCAGACCAAGATACAAAGTAAAAGCCTTTATATTTAAAAAAAAAAAAAAAAAAAAGGTTTAAAATGTGCTATCTTTAAAAGAAAAGTCAGGTCTGTAAATAGAACGCTTGCCTGCCTAAAGCACAAAGACACACTGCAGAGTGGTTCAGAGTAGAGTAAGAGAGGGTGGTGAGATGGCTCAACAGGAAAGGCACCTGCTGCCAAGGCTGACAAGCAGAGTTTGATCCTGGGACCCACAGGGTGCAGGAGAGAACCAACTCTAGTTCTCTGACCTTCACATGTATGTACCCACCCCCACACAAAAAAAATGAAAACATTTAACGAGAGCGAGCTCTAACAACTGAGTGAATGAAAACGGGACCCGGGTTTTCTTTTGTTGGAAAGGACATAAGGGGCACTTGGCAAATACGAAGCCTGAAGAAGAGTAACAGCATGCTCACCATTTTTAACTCCCCCACTCTGATCACCATGCTAGGGGTGACAATAGCCCTTGCTTCATTAGGAAAAATACACAAGCACCGAGGGTTAAGGAGGCAACGTTCAATAATTATTCTCAGCTAGCTAAGGTAGAAACCCACACGTGTGAGGAAGTGTGGGCATACAGCACACAGAAGGACACAGGCTGGGCGTAATGTGGTACGTGGCTACAATCCCAGCTACTCAGGGACTGAGGCAGGGAGAATACCTGGACCAGACGTTTGACGCCAGCCCGGGTAGTATCAACAGAGTATATTCTAGAACTCCTAATGGATTACAAATCTATAAATCTAAAACTTCATCAAAATAAAGATTGACCTGAATCTTATGCTCCCAGATTTTCACTATTATGTTTTCACACAGCTGCTATCTGATGTGACATTTTCATTGTAAAAAGATGCCTGTATAGATTTGCCTTTTTCCCTGCTCCGGATTTTCTGTAGTAACAAATGGCTCTTCCACTAGCTGCTGCTAGGAGCCGAGCTCCTCCCAGGCTGTGCACAGAACCCCTCAGATAGGGAACACAGCACTTGCCACTTCTAGCTGCACCTGTCCCTGTCCAAACCCGACCAGCACTGCTGGCTCTGCAGTACTCTTCAGCTAGCCCTTTGTGCAGGAACCTACACAGAAAGGGCACAGTAACTGAGCAGAACCCATGCTACCCAGAGCAGGCAATCATCGGCCAAAGTGTCACCACATGACCACATCAACCTCCCACTGACTCAGTGGCTCTGACATCAGCTCTCTCAGCCCTTCCAAGGCTACCAAAAGTGGTACTTCCAGGTCTCCTAAATGATGTTTATATACTTGAACACTGTCATGATCTAAGAAACTGAAAAACAAATGAAAAAAGAATCACATTTAAGTTTTATAACAAGAAAACTTAAGAAGTCAGAATTCCTTTGAGAGACAATTCCCTAGATGGTAGTGGTACATGCTTTTAATTTCAGTACTCAAGAGGCAGAAGCGGGCAGATCTCTAAGTTCGAGGCCAGTCTGGTCTAGAAAGCAAATTCCAGGACAACCAAGGCTACACAGAGAAACCTTGTCCCAAACAAACAAACAAACAAACAAACAAACAAACAAACAAGAAAACGATTCCCTGGGCCAAAAGACTAAGTGGGCTTAGTTTCTTTATTGAGATGAGGCTAAGGGCATACAAAGTGTGCACCCGTGTGCTTGCAGGTCTGTGCTGGTAGTGTGTGGAGGAGGGTGTTAGGACCGAGCCCGGGGCCCTCCGCATTCAGGGTGTGAGTTCTATCACTATTTCCTCAGCTTGGAATGTGTCTTAGAGACATTAATGTTAATTTTTTGTCCAGGTAAGTGGAGAATACATATACGTATGGGGAGTGCCTCAAGCACAACTTCCAAGCTTAATCAGGGCAGGCTGGAGAGCTGTTCATGTCACTCCACAGCCAGCGGCTTCTATCTCCTGTGGGTGAGGCTCAAACATGTCATAGACAAGAATGAGGACCAAGCCTGCCGGCAGCTGTGCTTCTGTGCTCGTGTTCCAGGAAGTCTTCTGCCACTAGACTGATTTCAACTGGATGAAGACATCTGTGCTCCACGGGTGCTACCAAGTTCCCCCAGTGTTCACCAACATCTGGGTTCCCATGAGAAACATGATCCTCAGCGGAAAGGCTCGTGGTGCCAAAAGGCCTCAGACTCATCTCTCAAGCATTTCTGAAGCAACAGCAACACCGAGACGTAATCCATACACCCCTCAATCCACCCAGATTGGGTATTGGTATGTGCTGATGAAGGTGGTGATTATCATCATTTCAGAACATTTTTAATCACTTTGTAACGTGCCCACTGGTAGTCACTCTCCCCTCCCCACCTGAGAGCCTCAGCCCTGGCTAACCACTCATCTACCTTGTCTCTGCGGATCTGACCACATTTCATAGACATGGGCTCACACAATAAGGACTCTTGTGACTGGCTTCTTTCATAGAACCAAGACTCACCCTGTCAGACCCCAGAGCAACACTTATGTTATCACTATCGGAGCTGATGAACACTGGCCTCTCTCTGTGTTTTGGCCGCTACACATCTATGCACAAGCTTTTTCATAGACTTTCTACTTCTCTTGGCTATACATACACAAGGGGATTCACCAGATCAGAGAATCTCTATCTTTAGCCTTCTGAAATGTTTTCCAACCGTGTCATTTTACATCTCCACTAGCAGAGTGTGGTTTCCAATGACACCACGGCCTTTCACTGTCTACATCTCTGCACTTGCATTCCAGTGGCTGTAAGGAGCTCATTGTGGTTTTCATGTTTCTCTAAACGCTAATGACCTAGAGCATCTTTTCATGTTTATTGGCCATTAACGTATCTTCTTCAGATAAACATTTATTCAGACCCCTTGTCTACTATTTTATTGGTCTGTCTCATTGTTATAATAGTTCTTTGTAAGATAGTTCTTTATATATTCTAAAAATAGGTCTTTAATAAGATTTGGATATATTTTCTCCCACCTTCAGGTGACTCAACTTTCTTGGTGTGCTCTCTGTGCTGGGGCCTGAATCCAGGGCCCGTGCACACGAGGCAAACACTCTGCTAAGCTACCCCACCAGCCCTCCTCCTGGAGGGCTTTGGAGAACACTACTTTGAAAAATAAATTTCAGATTTATTTTAAGTGTCTATTAGTACTTTTACTGCACGTATGTCTGCACACCATATGCATGTCAACAGAGGTCTGAAGGCGGCATGGGCTTTGCCTAACTGTAGCTGTGGGTGGTTGGGAGCTACCATGTAGGTACTGGGAAGCAGGCCTGGCTCCCTGGAAGAAGACCTGGTGCTCTTAACTGCTAAGCTGTGCCTCCAGCCCCAAGTTATAACTTTCCGTGAAGCTCAATTTGCCTATGGTTCCTTCTGTCATTTCCACTTTTGTTACCATATCTAAGAAGCCAAAATAACAGAATTGGAGTTCTGGGAGTCAGATCTGTGACCTGATCTTTACAGGCTTTCCTGGGTACCTCAGGTTATTATGCATGCAGCAGAGATGGTGAGCGCTGCAACAGAGAGCTGCTACAAGTAAATGAGACACCTGAGCAAGGCCTGGCACCTAGCGCAGGATATCAACATTAAGATATTTGATTTTATCCTCTGAGACAGCCCCAGTTTGTTGGGGTGTGGTAAAGAAGACAATTTTCTACATTCTCTGGCCTGAATAGAAGCTCAAAGAACTGAAATCACATATATGGCTTTTTTTTTTTTTTTTTTTTTTGCTTTGGGGAGGGGTTGAGGAATGTCAAAACAGGGTTTCTCTAGGACAGCTTTGGCTGTCCTAGACTCACTTTGTAGATGAGGCTGGTCTCAAACCCATAGAGATCTGCCTGCCTCTGCCTCCCTGAGTGCTGGGATTACAGATGTGCACCACCACACCCAGCACCAAAATCACATAAATGAAAATACCTAATGTCTCCTCTTTCAAGACAGAAATCAATGGTGAGGAATACAATGCATGGGTGGACGTAAAGCACCAGAATTGAGGGTAAGCCTCAGAACAGGTAGACCCTGAAATGGCTGCTATGTTGAACAAGACAACTTCCCTGCTTAATCACTGGTAAAGAGGAGTCATGCTGTTACTGCCAATCTAACAGCTCAGGCACACAGTCGGCATGGCTCGTGTGCCTGAGAGAGAAGAGAATGAATTGCAAACAGTGTAGCTCATGAACTGTGTAGCCCAGCAAGGCTGCTGGCTGCTCTTCTTTCTAGCCTGTATTTGAAGCTCTGTATTTCCTTGTCCCCTCTCAGAGCACCTTAATACATGCTTTCCCTCTGCATGCAACACTGGCTCCTCATCCTGCGGACCTCAGTGTCAATGTTCCGTCCCGGAGGGAGGCTTTGCAGCCACCACGGCGGCTGCCCCATCAAGGTTTGCTGAGTCTACTGTGTCCTCACAAAGTGCCTCAGTCTCCACCGATCTTCACACCACAGAGCACAGAGACTGTGCTGCTTTTGCTAATTCCCAGGCTGTGGCATCTAGCAAGGGCTTGAAGTGCCCGGAATAATGAGGAGCCCAGAGGAAAGAAGATCACAAGCCTAACTGACCCACACAGAGGATTACTCAGCTGACAGGTCTCACTTTCCAGCTCCTTTGAAGTGAACAGAGGGGAACTCTGACCATTACACCTGGGCGTGACAGATAGTGGTCACTGTATGCACTTTAACCTTTTTTCTGATAAATCCTTGAGGAGAAGTAAGAAATCTCCATCTCTACGCCTATCTGCCTTCTGCTGGGTACCCAGTAACAACTACTCTTTTCTCTGCCATCTGATGGCAGTGCCGCAGGAGAGAGGGCACAGCCCTGTGCTAGTGTAAGAGAGTACTAAAGAACCCTCAGGGTAGTTGAGTCTCTGCAATGTCTAGACATTGGGTTCCACCAAGTAGTGGCCCCGTTTGTAATCCAGGGCTCAGAAGGCTGAGGATGAAGATCTCAATTAGCTCGAGGCCAGCTTGGGCTACAAGTGAAACCTTATTATTATAAATAAATACAGTGATTTCATCAACTTTTTACTTAACCCTATCTTATTTGTGCTGGGAACTATTCCCAGAGAAGATTAAGATGCTGGAAAGGGTAGGTACCTGGCACAAGAAAGTACACAGTGATGGTTAAAAGTCTGGGTCACTCCTCTTTCCCCGTGCTTTGGCCTTAATCTAGACGGCATGCCACCACCAGCCAAGAGCGCTCAATTCCAAAGGCCGCCTTATGGAGAGGAGTGAGAACACTGCTAGCACTGTAGAAAAGCACCAGTGTGACAGCTCCTCCTGAAGGACTGCTGGGATCCAAAACAGTTCTCTCCAGAAAAAATTGCCAAGGACATCAGTTTTTGAAGGTCAACAGATGGGGCCCTCACTGTCTCTCCCGTCCCCTCCTGTACACTGCCCCTGAGGGAAAAAGGACTGTGACATCAGTACAGCTGTCCTAACCCTGACCCTCGCCATTACCTCTTGCTGCTTCTCCTCATTGGGATAGGTGTCTATAAACACTCCCAGCCCCACAAATTTGTCCATGTTTCCAAAGACAGGCCCTAGAGAGAGAGAACAGATGATGAACAATGACATAGAGCCAAGAGTTGACAAGGGACAATATCTTATATGGCAGAGGAAAAGGTGATACTCAAATGGCTCCCAGATATTTGCTAAGATGAGCACACACACATGAATGCACCCAGCAAAGTGTAGGGCCTACAACTGGGCCCACCAACAGCTGTCATAGCTTGCTGCTAAAGGCAGGAGGAGGAGGAAGGCCACTATCTCCTTGTTTTGTATGGCAGTAACTCCCTGAACCAAACTGGTTGCTAAGGCACCGCTACCTACAGAATTCTGCTTCATAAACACTTGGAAAAGGTTACGGCCCCAAGAGAGAACTGAATTCCCAAGTTCTATTTCTTATTGCAAGCAATTAGGTCAAATCAGGGTCAGCCTGCCATCTTCTTGGAACACCGTCTCCAACAGCAAGGAAAGCAGAGAATTCGTCTCTTGACTCAAGTGCTGAACATGTAGGTGTATGAGTGTAAGTGTCCAGAAGAAAGCAGCACACCCCGGAGAGCAGTGCAATCTGCTGGCCGATGGCCGGGCTGCGCGGGAAAACACGGAAGGGACCAACAAGCAAGGAGTCATCCCAGGATGAGCCAAGCTCAGACTGCTGAGGACCCAGACCCCACTCTAGAGACTCGATGGGCTAACGCTCATTCACAGACGCCAAGGCAGAGGGAAAGCTAGGAGGAAGGCCCATACACAGGCCTGCTACACTTATGTGGGAGCGCCCCAGGGTCCCTAATACCTGGCTGCATTCGGTCCTTAGTGTACCAGATTGCCAGGCCATCTCCGTGCAGATTCTTCTTCCCTTGTCCATGGATCTTGAAGTGCACCTGCAGCTCCCAGTCCTTCAGGAAACATGGCTAACATGAGGAAGACAGAGGCGTAAGAGAGGAGCACGAAATCTGAACCCCATAAAGCCCTCAGCAGCAGTCTACAGACGTGGAAAGCAGCTTTGGAATAAGACTACATGTTAAAATGAGATCTGAAGCTTAAAACTAAAGGACTCTGTCTTAAAACTAAATGGACCGAGCCGTTCAACTGTTTAAGGTACTGTGTACGGAAGACAAAGAAAGCACCCGGTTATCTTCACATCTTCCAGCACAAACAGGACAGGACATGCAAGCTGGAAAAGGCAGTTAGCCTGCCACAATCTTTCTTCTACCCAGAAGTGCATCTAGCCAACTGGGTAAAGAGGGCTGGCTTAAAAATACTTGTTTGCAATGTAAGACTATTCCTCTGACAAAAAAAAAAAAAAAAAAAAAAAAAAAACCTCTAAAAAGCTAAGCTTCAAAGAAAGGTCAAAGCCTCCTTCATTAAAAAAGAAGGAAAGCTAAGTCCCACACAGAGGTTTCCAGGGATAATTAGCAGATGTTATGAAGAACTCTAATTAGCTAAAGATGGCATTCCGCCAAGCTGAAGGGCAAGCCTGAGTTCCCAAGAGAACAAATAGGAAGCTACAGTCCCCCAAACCTTTGTGCCCACCAATGGAAGCATAAATGTGCCAGAGGCAAACACGATCTCCTTCCACTGGGACAGCCTCTTGGGGGCACGTGGGGATGGGAAATGGGGAGACACATTAAGAAGACAGGCATCACTCAGATTTCTGTTTGGCTTTTGTAATTGTGTACCAAAGCCTTCTGCAGACAGGGAGAGCGGTGAGTGGCTGGCTAAGTGTGTGACACAGTTATAGCGTTTTTTTCAGAAGAAACCAGGATGAGGACAGTATTTGGTCTGGGGTAGCATCTAGTTAAAATCTGCTGTGAGGAAAGAAGGGAAGGAGGGGTTCAGCTGGGCTTGGCCAGTTTCAGCAAAGGGTTTCTAAACAGACTGTTTTGGGCCTTGAGCAACATAGTTTGATCATTTTCAGTTTTTTTTGTTTTTAATTTCTGGGGCACCATCCAAAAGAATGATACAGAATACAGAGTCAAAATGAAAGGAGGTTGGACACTTTTTCACCTAGCAGAAAGCCCTGATATCTCCAATAGTTTGCCCTATTCTGGCCCCCCACCCCCGGACAGGATTTCTCTGTGTAGCCTTGGCTGTCCTGGACTCACTTTGTAGACAGGACAGGCCTCAAACTCAGAGAACACCAACTGTCTCTGCCTCCCAGAGTGCCGGGATTATAAGCGTGTAACGCCACACCTGGCTCTATTCTGCCTTTTCATTTTGGATTATCTCTCTACTGTTTCATTTAGTTTTCAGGACAAGAAAGATTTCAGAGGCAGAAAGCTGTCCTGTAGCCAGTAGGTAGCACAATGGCCCTGAGAAGAGGGCAGGCCAGAGAAGCCCATGGTCAAGAGGTGTTTGCCGATAATTCTTGGCCTGAGGTATCACAATGCTATACAGTTTTGCTCAGGGTGATGTTTAAGAGTGGTTCTGAAATTTTGCTGAATGTCTGAAAATCCCAATGATCAAACCATCGGTGGTGGCAGGAGCCTTTAATCCCAGCACTCCAGAGGCAAAGACAGGAGGATCTCTGAGTTCAAGGCCAGTATGGTCTTCAGAACTAGTTCTAGGTCAGCCAGGGCTACACAGAGAAACTGTCTCAAAAGAACCAAAAACCAAACAAACAAACAAAAAAATAACCACCACCACCCCCCAAAAAAAAGCAGAAAGAAAAAAGAAAAGAAAACCCAATGACCAAAAGATGGCAGAATGCCATCTTTAGCTAATTAGCACCCTATCCTAATTAAATCAGTATCTCTGGGGTAGGATTCAGGCATAGACTCCAGTGGACAGCCAAGTTTGAGAACCACTGGCTCAAACTATGTATCCCACTCCAGTAGCTCAAAAATGGTCCTTGGTTCATTCTGTTGAGAATGAAGGGATCAGAGAATCTTACAGGTTAAGGTCATTAAGCCTTGTACATAATAATTTAATAACCCACAAGAGCCCATCAGTGAAACTGAGAGCAGGTCTGATAACAGCACTTATTTCTGTAACCATTGTAGCAAACTTTGCAGAAAGTCTTTTCATGCCCACCGTCTGGTTATGCTCTGACAACTCAGACAGGGAAGTCAGACAGACATTATGAAGTCACTTTAACAGGTGGAGAAATAGACAACAAGAGGGCAGCCTAGGCCTGGGGCTCATGGTGGCTGGGTGGCCATGCTGGACTTAGAATACAAGTCAGTCAATGATTCTTATGTCTTCTGCCATGCCCCATATTGAGCTCAGCACTACAATCTAGGTTACGGGGTCAACCTCTGCAGATGGCTCACAGAAAAAGCACTCTTACCCCTCTGCTCCCTTAGAACTCTTAGTTAGAGAAAAAATGAAGAGGGAAAAGAAACAGTCCTCTTTTATCCACTCACAGCATCTCTAGCTAATGAGAAAACCAAGGAGGTGTAAGATTATTCCCCATTCATTTATAGGAGACCGGGAGAAAATGTGAAAAGATGCCAAAGGCATCCCTAAAAGTAACATGGCTGGGAAAGTGTAGACAGGACCAGGAAAATGGAAAGAATCAACTCACACTTGAACAAAAGCATAGTGCGGCACTCACTCACTTCTTGGAATCATACCCAAGGAAGACAAAGCAGCTAGAGGGTCCCCAGGACAAAGGAAGGGATTCAAATGGCTCCAACTGAAATAAACTCTTCACTGAAACAAGGGACGGCTACTAAGATTAAGCTTGGGGTAAATGTATTTCTTAATGCTTATTAACATATTTATTTATTTATTCATTCATTCATTTATTTAACAACAGTGTCCTACTATGACTGAGGCTGAATTTCTGGGCTTAACTGATTTCCCTACCTGAGGCCCCCAAAGTACTAGAACTACAGATGTATAGCACCATATCCAGAGTATGGAGGTTGAAGCAGAAGGATCACATGTTTGAGGCTACTATCAAGTTCAAGGACAGCCTGTATTACACAGTAAGGAACAAACAACAGTAACAGCAACAAAACAACAGTTTTCCGTTTAACAAAGTAAGTAAATAAGGTTTAAGCTAGTAAGCCCCAAAATGTGGTATGGCAGGTTAAGGAGAAAATGAATTATTTGCTCTAATTGGTCAACAGAGAAATATCTGATTTCTTTATTATGGCATTCACCATTATCCTTGAACTGAAGAATTTAAAAAAAAAAAATCAGTGACTTATTTATTTCTATTTTATGTATATTGGTGTTTTATCTGCATGTAAGTCTGTGTGAGGCTGTTGGATGCCCTGGAACTGGAGTTACAGACAGTTGTGAGCCACCATGTGGGTGGTAGGAATTGAACCCAGGTCCTCTGGAAGGACAGCCAGTGCTCTTAACCAACTGCTGAGCTGTCTAAAGACTTCTAGTACCTTTAGAAGATGGAACACTGGGAAAAGACAGTAAGACAAAGTAATGTCGCAGTCATTTCTGGGCTTTTTTTAGGACATCTGGGGTCCTAACACAGGAGGCCTCTTACCACCCGATTCCACAAGGCGCCCTGTTTACTTTGCATGTCTGGAGTGAGGCGGATGTACTGCGTCATCACCATGGCATGGCCCATCAGGTTCCACAGCGAAGAGCTGCTTGTTCCCACACCTGCGAGGAGGGAAAGAGATCAGCTCACAGTCTTCACCAAGTGTTCACAAAACCTCCTACAAAAGCTGGAGCCTTACCTTTTTCCTTTAGTATTAATGAATAAACCTTTATTTCCTCTTTTTTTTGACATGGGGTCTCAATCTGGTGCCCAGGCTGATCTCCAACTCCTAGACTCAAGCAATCCTTCTGCTTCATCCTCCTGAATGACTGGGACCACATTAAGCTTCCTTTAGCTAAGTCCTTCAGATGAAGGATGCACCTCAGAGCTGTCATTTAGGCATGGCACAGTAACCATCCTCTAGGTCATGTAGTAAGTCGGACCTGTGTTAGAACCCTGAATGTCCTAAAAAACTCCATGTGTGAGTAAACTTTAGCACCATGAAAGGACAAGAATTTTCTCATTTTATACAGAAAGAGACGGACCCTCAAAAGCCTGTGGGCTTAATCATATTCTTTTAAATTCAGTGTTTCAAGCTGATTCCCTGTCCCCAAGTCCCTTAAACTCCAGAGTGAAAACCAGTCCAACCCATACTATCAGCAGGGACCAACACTGACTTCTTAGTGACAGCGTATAGCTTTCTGCAGTTTGAATTTTTGTCTTCTGCACCCCCTATCCACAGCTCTGTGGGGAAAACAAACTTGTGTATTAAGCCTTCTGCACTAATTTCTTTTCTTTGAAGACACCTGTGTCAATTTTCTGACACTGAGCTGCGCTTAGAGACCCAGAAATCCCTGAAGAGAGCAAAGCTAACCACCTCTTTCATCATCATCGGGGCTCGCGGCCTGAGAAGGAGCAGGTGTTGTCTAACAAACAGACTTTCCCTCCTTTCTTACTCCGACCAAGTTCTACCCGAGTTCTTGCTCCTGCCTTATTTCTAGCGCAGCCCCCGCTCCATCCCGACGCTGGCTCCTCGCTAGAGGTCCCCAATCGTCCCTCTCTATCCCCGGTTCTCTCTCCTCGTGTTTCCGTCCAGCTCCCAACACACCTTCCTCCCAGCCTGACACCGATGACATCTGAGAGCCCTGCCTAGATCTACTAGAAACTTCCAGCGCTCGGAAAGGGGCGGCGGCGGGGGCGGACCCCTGTCCTGTGGACCTGTGGCTCTTCCAGAGAGCGGGGCTCCCAGGGGGAGGAGGAGCGCCCCGTCCCGCTGGCGGCTGCGTCCCCGAGCTCAGTCCGGCTCTGTCCCCATGCCCTCCCCTGCGCGCCCACCTCGCCCCGGGCGCCTCACCCTGGTAGGGCTTCGACAGCGAGTGCTCCCGTTTCAAGTACTCCACCGCTTGAGCCGCCATGACGTGCCGCGGCCCCTGCCCGGACCCCAACAGGAGGAGAAGGACCAATAGCCTGAACCCGTCCCGAGCCCACGCGCGCCGCCGCCACCACTGCCACCGGGAGGGTCTCAGAGCCGCCGCCATCTTTCCCACCGCCGGCCCTTCATCAAAAAGCCCGCCCCGTTGCCCAACCCATTGGCCTGCAGAACCATCGGCCCGGCCTCCCATTGGCTCCTGGCGAGTCCCCGCCCCCGCAGGTGAGTATCTCACCGATTGGCTGCGGGGTAGCAGTTGCCTTGCCAACCCAGGCAAGGGGCGTTGCCGAATGTCCAGACTCCTTTCTTGGCTTTGGTCCTAGGGCTCCGTAAGGCCTGCTAGCTACCTAGCGGTTCTTACTTTGTTTCTGCGTTCTATAGTAAAATTAAAACATTTCCCCCCCAGTTCCCAAGCAAATGTTCTAACGTCACTGCTATTTGTACCTACTTGACCTCCAAGCTATCAGTCAGGAGGACGTAGAAGTGAAAAGGAGAAATAGACAAATCAGTGAATAAAATAAATGGAAGGAACTGAAGACTAGTTCTGTTGGTAAAGGATTTGCCTTAAGACCCGGGCGAGCATTCGGTAATCCCAGCACTCTAGAGACAGAGGCAGGAAGGTGGGGAGTTCAAAGCCAGCATGATGAGTTAGAGGGGGACCTAAGTAATTCATTATAATGAAAACGTTGGCTCCAGGTGGTGGTGGCACGCCTTTAATCCCAGCACTCAGGGAGGTAGAGGCAGGCAGATCTCTGTGAGTTCGAGGCCAGCCTGGTCTACAAAGGGAGTCCAGGACAGCCAAGGCTACACACAGAAACCCTGTCTCCATAAACCAATAAATAGATAAATAAATAAATACATAAATAAATAAATAAATGACTTGACGAGCACTGTCAACCAACATTACATGATGACATTTAGACATTTATAGAAATTAAATGTTTGCCAAACTGTAAAAAAAAAAAAAAAAAGCAAACGAACAGTCTATTCCCTTTCCATAACTTCTTTCAAGCCACCTATGTCCAACCGTTTTCATCATGTTATTAATCAGCCCTTATTATCTCCAGTCCCTCCACGGGCACATGAAGCTCTCTGCCATCTGGCTCTGACGCTCCCCTATAACCAAAACTGCCCACAGGCTCCTAATTTCACCAACGTGTTCCAGCTTCCTCACCTGCTTGCTCACTTCCTACTCTCAGAAACTGGCTTCCTCTAACTACTTCCTCTTGGAGACTTTCCTGACACCCTCAGGCCGGAGCAAGTGTGTATCTCTGAGCTGCAAAAAGCTCCACAGATATCTACAAAGGACTTGTCAGATCTGTGTTTACATCTTCCCAACAAACATAGCCAAGGTTAACGCTCTTCTGAGTGTAGGTTTAATAGAGAAACAAGACATGAACTTGCTTCGGAGAAGATCAACTTTTGAAAGCTGTCAAAGCTACCGATCTTTTACAAACTCTACCCAAAGCAGTTACACAGTGACAAGATTTCAGGCACTGCAGTTAATCTTTTTTTATCATACCCTTACTGTAAAATCATTCATGATCTGCAGTGGCCATAGAATAAAATCCAGTCTCCCTAGCGGGGCATTCAAGGCCCCTTACAACCTGATCAGATCAGTCTGTTCACATGTCTATTATAATGTCCGTCACTGGAATTATGTCACTCAATTAACAGATTACGCATTTTTCCCCTACCGAGGAAGGCAGTTCAGGGGCCACAGGAAGTCATTCTTACTCATTTCCTATGCCAGGCCCCACTCACTTCCCCAACCCTTAACCCTTATCACCAGTACAGAATAAGGGTTCTAATGGTTTTGAAGAATTATTTCCACTGTATTTTTCTGTCAACTAGATTGCTTTTGTTGTGTTTAAATAATAAAATTTAACCTTTGGTTACTTTTATTAATTTGTTTGTCTAGCCCATTGCCTTGGTTTTTCCCCCCTCCTTACGGTGCTGAGGATTAAACCCAGACTTTGCACATACTAGGTAAATGTTCTGCCATCAGGCTACATCTCCAGCCCTGTTTATTTCTCTCTTCTTTGCATTATGGGGGAATCGATTCAAGAATTTCATGCATATTAGACAAGTACTATACCACTAAGCTATGCTCCCTCAACCCTCTCTCCTTTTAAGACAGGGTCTTATGTAGCCCAAAGCAGGCCTTGAACTCCTGATTCTCTGGCCTCAGCCTCCCAGGTGCTGGGATCACATGTGTGAACCAGCTCTTCATTTCTAAGTACAGCACAGGCTTAGTAACATGAATTCATGTTGCTCATTGTAAAAGGACAAAGGAATAAGGCAAATGAGCAGGCAAGGTGGATTTTCTGGCCCCTTCCTCATACAAACACCCCAGATCTGAGATCTGGTCATCAGGACTTTGATTTTTATGAATTCATCCTCGGCTAAATGAAGCAACAAAGTCATAAACCCAGGCTTGTTGTTTGCTTGTTTTTTAATTAGTGCAGGATCTCAAGCATGTTAGACAAATTCTCTACCATTGAGCTACAATCCTCATTCTCCAGCTCCTCCTCTTCCTTTTCTCTGCTCCCTAAAAATGTGTGTGTGCATGTGTGTAGTGTGTGTGTTTGGTTTCTTTTAGACAGCTCTGGCTGTCCTGGAACTTACTGTATAGGCCCAGCTGTCTTAGAACTAACTGTGCAGACCAGGCTTCCCAGAACTCACAGAGATCTGCCTGCCTCTGCCTCCTCAGTGCTAAGACTAAAGATGTGCGCCACCATGCTTGGCTCAGCCCTTTCTTTTCTTGACAGGGATTCATAATGTACCTCAAGTTGGCCTGAAGCCAGCTATCCTCTACTTCTAGTCCTGGGACTATAGGTATATGTCACCACATCTGGCTCTTAATTAGTTTTTCTTTCTTTTTTTAATTAGAAAAAAACCCTATGAGTTAGGATCTCATAACTTACCCTGTGGCCCCAAATTGATGCTGGCCTCAACTTGAGACATCCCTTCTGCTTTACCAGCCTGAGCCTCAGGGTCACAGGCATTCAAATGCCCAGCAAGCTTTTAGTTTTCAAGACTTACTTATTTTCTTGTGTGTGTGTGTGTGTGTGTGTGTGTGTGTGTGTGTATGTGTGTGTGTGTGCGCGCACGCGAACGCGCCTGGGTGTTTTGCCTGGATGTAGCTGTGTGAGCCACCATGTGGGTGCTGGGAAATGAACCCAGGTCCTCTGTAAGAACAAGCACTTTCAACCACTGAGCCATCTCTGCAGCCCCATGTCTGCATTTTTGGAAACCGAGCTCTGCTGTATGAACTCAGGGAACTTATTTCATCTCTCTGGATCTCAGTGGATAAAATGAGTGTGAGAAGATTAGCACAACCTAGATTTTTGATAGCATGAGATCAAAGACTGTGAAGAATATATACGCACAGTTGGGATTCCAGAGAGTTCTATAAGAGTACATGAGGGTTTGTTATGCTGGCCTACTTTTTTCTTTTCTTTTCTTTTTCAAACTTACTCTGTATACTAGTCTAGCCTTGAACTCAGCGATCTGCCTGCCTCTGCTTTTAGAGTGCTGGGATTAAATGGGTGCACCATCATGCCTGGCTAATTCTTTTTATTTTCTTTTTAAATTTTACTTATTATTATGTTATGTGCATTGGTGTTTTGCCTGCATGTATGTCTGTTTGAGAACATCAGATCTTGGAGTTGTGAGCTGCCATGAAGGTGCTGGGAATTGAACCCGGGTCCTATGGAAGAGCAATTAGTCCTCTTAACTGCTAAGTCATCTTTCCAGCTCCTTATTTCTTTTTTTAAACATGATTTTCCTTTTTAAAACAATTATTTCTTTGGGATGGAGAGTTGGCTCAGAGGTTAAGAGTACTGGCTACTTTTCCAGAGATCCTGAGTTCAATTCCCAACAACCACATGGTAGTTCATAACCATCTATACTGAGATCTGATGCCCTCTTCTGGCATGTAGGCACATATGCAGGCAGAACACTGTATACATAATAAATAAATAAATAAATAAATAAATAAATAAATAAATAAATAAATAAATTGTTATACATAATAATTATAATAAATTATTATTATACATAATAAATAAATCTTTAAAAATATTTCTTTGAGAATTAGGTACAAAGAGGTTATGTTTTTTTTTTTTTCAAGACAGTGTTTCTCTTGGAAGCCTTAGCTGTCCTGGAATTCACTCTGTAGACCAGGCTGGCTTTGAACTCATGGAGATCCACCTGCCTCTGCCTCTCTGAGTGCTGGAATTAAAGGTGTGCACCAAAACAATGAGTTTTGACCACATGCAACATCCCCAACTCCTTTGATCCACCTCCCTCCTTCCCTCTCCAACTACCTTCCTCTCTCTCTCTCTCTCTCTCTCTCTCTCTCTCTTTCTCCCCCACATTTTGTCCAGTTTGAGGTGCCCATGTATTCAGATTCAGGGATGTGAGGCCTTCCACAGGAGCATGGTTGACCTACCTTCTCCCATCAGCCTGATAGATCCCCAGCTAGGGATCAGGCTTCGAGTCTGCCTCCCGTCTCTCCGCTGCGACTTCGTTTGGCTTGAGCTTGCGCTGAGCTTGGATGTGTTGCCGTAGCTGCTGCAAGTTCACACAGCTGCTTGCCTGTATCTGGCAAACACCGTTCGTTGCAGCCACCTCCTGACTTTGGCTCTTACATTCCTCTGCCCTACTCCCCCCTCCCTTCTGCAATGATCCCAGAGCCTTGGGAGGAGGAGGAGGTGTGTCCCATTTAGGACTGATCTTCCTGAGGGCATTTATCTTCTGCACTTTGGCCACCTGTGGGTCCCTGTGTTGATCACCGAGTACTACAAATCCAAGGCTCTCTGACGAGGGTGAGAGCCGCCTTAATCTACGAGGTCATTAGGAGTTCATTTAAAGGGTCTCAACAGGTGGCCTGGGTGGGTCTCCAGCTTGAGAGGCTCATACCTAAACTTGAAATCTTCCTTCCTTAGCTCCTAATGCTAGGATTACAGGCCTATGCTACCATGCACGGCCCTTCACACTTTGTAAAATGTGTTCCGCGAAAGTGACTCTGGTCCTTTTAAAAGAAAGCAACTGGGAGAGCCAGATGGCTGTAATTGAAGTTGGAGGCCAGCCTTGTCGTCTCACCAAAAAGAAAA